CATAGCTGTAGTACCATTAACCTAAAAATAAAACAGCCTTGCTGACTTCCTGTTATTACAATCTTAATATTTGGGTCTATTATAAAACTTTTTAAGCTTTTGTTTTTGCTTGTCGCCAGAGTTTAAATATTTCGCATAAGTAAACAAAAGACTATGTTGTGTGTGTGTGTGTGTGTGTGTGTGTGTGTGTGTGTGTGTGTGTGTGTGTGTGTGTATGTAAGGGGTGTATTACGTTTGTCGTACAATGTGGGTGTGAGGGTATGGTTCATGGTGTGGGGCGGCTGGTGTGAGGTTATGGTTCAGGGTGTGGGGCGGCTGGTGTGAGGGTATGGTTCATGGTGTGGGGCGGCTGGTGTGAGGGTATGGTTCATGGTGTGGGGCGGCTGGTGTGAGGTTATGGTTCATGGTGTGGGGCGGCTGGTGTGAGGGTATGGTTCAGGGTGTGGGGCGGCTGGTGTGAGGGTATGGTTCATGGTGTGGGGCGGCTGGTGTGAGGTTATGGTTCATGGTGTGGGGCGGCTGGTGTGAGGGTATGGTTCATGGTGTGGGGCGGCTGGTGTGAGGTTATGGTTCATGGTGTGGGGCGGCTGGTGTGAGGGTATGGTTCATGGTGTGGGGCGGCTGGTGTGAGGGTATGGTTCATGGTGTGGGGCGGCTGGTGTGAGGTTATGGTTCAGGGTGTGGGGCGGCTGGTGTGAGGTTATGGTTCATGGTGTGGGGCGGCTGGTGTGAGGTTATGGTTCATGGTGTGGGGCGGCTGGTGTGAGGGTATGGTTCATGGTGTGGGGCGGCTGGTGTGAGGGTATGGTTCATGGTGTGGGGCGGCTGGTGTGAGGTTATGGTTCATGGTGTGGGGCGGCTGGTGTGAGGTTATGGTTCATGGTGTGGGGCGGCTGGTGTGAGGGTATGGTTCATGGTGTGGGGCGGCTGGTGTGAGGGTATGGTTCATGGTGTGGGGCGGCTGGTGTGAGGGTATGGTTCATGGTGTGGGGCGGCTGGTGTGAGTGTATGGTTCATGGTGTGGGGCGGCTGGTGTGAGGGTATGGTTCATGGTGTGGGGCGGCTGGTGTGAGGTTATGGTTCATGGTGTGGGGCGGCTGGTGTGAGGTTATGGTTCATGGTGTGGGGCGGCTGGTGTGAGGGTATGGTTCATGGTGTGGGGCGGCTGGTGTGAGGGTATGGTTCATGGTGTGGGGCGGCTGGTGTGAGGTTATGGTTCATGGTGTGGGGCGGCTGGTGTGAGGGTATGGTTCATGGTGTGGGGCGGCTGGTGTGAGGGTATGGTTCATGGTGTGGGGCGGCTGGTGTGAGGGTATGGTTCATGGTGTGGGGCGGCTGGTGTGAGGTTATGGTTCATGGTGTGGGGCGGCTGGTGTGAGGGTATGGTTCAGGGTGTGGGGCGGCTGGTGTGAGGGTATGGTTCATGGTGTGGGGCGGCTGGTGTGAGGTTATGGTTCATGGTGTGGGGCGGCTGGTGTGAGGGTATGGTTCATGGTGTGGGGCGGCTGGTGTGAGGTTATGGTTCATGGTGTGGGGCGGCTGGTGTGAGGGTATGGTTCATGGTGTGGGGCGGCTGGTGTGAGGGTATGGTTCATGGTGTGGGGCGGCTGGTGTGAGGTTATGGTTCATGGTGTGGCGCGGCTGGTGTGAGGTTATGGTTCATGGTGTGGGGCGGCTGGTGTGAGGGTATGGTTCATGGTGTGGGGCGGCTGGTGTGAGGGTATGGTTCATGGTGTGGGGCGGCTGGTGTGAGGGTATGGTTCATGGTGTGGGGCGGCTGGTGTGAGGGTATGGTTCATGGTGTGGGGCGGCTGGTGTGAGGGTATGGTTCATGGTGTGGGGCGGCTGGTGTGAGGTTATGGTTCATGGTGTGGGGCGGCTGGTGTGAGGTTATGGTTCATGGTGTGGGGCGGCTGGTGTGAGGGTATGGTTCATGGTGTGGGGCGGCTGGTGTGAGGGTATGGTTCATGGTGTGGGGCGGCTGGTGTGAGGTTATGGTTCATGGTGTGGGGCGGCTGGTGTGAGGGTATGGTTCATGGTGTGGGGCGGCTGGTGTGAGGGTATGGTTCATGGTGTGGGGCGGCTGGTGTGAGGGTATGGTTCATGGTGTGGGGCGGCTGGTGTGAGGTTATGGTTCATGGTGTGGGGCGGCTGGTGTGAGGGTATGGTTCAGGGTGTGGGGCGGCTGGTGTGAGGGTATGGTTCATGGTGTGGGGCGGCTGGTGTGAGGTTATGGTTCATGGTGTGGGGCGGCTGGTGTGAGGGTATGGTTCATGGTGTGGGGCGGCTGGTGTGAGGTTATGGTTCATGGTGTGGGGCGGCTGGTGTGAGGGTATGGTTCATGGTGTGGGGCGGCTGGTGTGAGGTTATGGTTCATGGTGTGGGGCGGCTGGTGTGAGGTTATGGTTCATGGTGTGGGGCGGCTGGTGTGAGGGTATGGTTCAGGGTGTGGGGCGGCTGGTGTGAGGGTATGGTTCATGGTGTGGGGCGGCTGGTGTGAGGTTATGGTTCATGGTGTGGGGCGGCTGGTGTGAGGGTATGGTTCAGGGTGTGGGGCGGCTGGTGTGAGGGTATGGTTCATGGTGTGGGGCGGCTGGTGTGAGGGTATGGTTCATGGTGTGGGGCGGCTGGTGTGAGGTTATGGTTCAGGGTGTGGGGCGGCTGGTGTGAGGTTATGGTTCAGGGTGTGGGGCGGCTGGTGTGAGGTTATGGTTCAGGGTGTGGGGCGGCTGGTGTGAGGTTATGGTTCAGGGTGTGGGGCGGCTGGTGTGAGGTTATGGTTCAGGGTGTGGGGCGGCTGGTGTGAGGTTATGGTTCATGGTGTGGGGCGGCTGGTGTGAGGTTATGGTTCATGGTGTGGGGCGGCTGGTGTGAGGGTATGGTTCATGGTGTGGGGCGGCTGGTGTGAGGGTATGGTTCAGGGTGTGGGGCGGCTGGTGTGAGGTTATGGTTCAGGGTGTGGGGCGGCTGGTGTGAGGGTATGGTTCATGGTGTGGGGCGGCTGGTGTGAGGGTATGGTTCAGGGTGTGGGGCGGCTGGTGTGAGGTTTGTTCTACTCTGTGTTTTGTGTAGTGTATGCGAGTAGCGTCGTAGGGTGTGGTGTATAGGGAGTTGTGTGTATGATGTGGGGTAGGTGATAGCGTCGTGGGCTATGTAGGGTAAAAGGATGTGTGTCGTGGAGTGTGGGTTGTAATGTGTGTGGCGTTGTGTTTTAGAATGTGGGGTGTTGTCGTTCATGTTGTTGAGTGGTGTTTGGGGCGTGTGGTATAGTATGGACCGGGTTGTGTGGGGTTTGTTTCGGTGTGTGGTTCATTGTGTCTTGCGGAGTGAGGTGGTGTGCTGTAGGGGGTGGAGCGGGGTAGTGTGGGACTTGGTCCACCCAGTGTGGTAGGGTGTGTGGGGAGTCGTGGTATGGTGTGGGATGAGTGATTTGGTGTGTATCATGGTGTTAGTGTGGTGATGTTTGTGTTGTGTGGGGTGAGTGATTAAGCGTGAATCATGCATGGGGTTAGTGTAGCGATGTTTGGGTTGTGTGGGATGAGTGATTTAGTGTGGATCATGGGGCTAGTGTGGTGGGGTTAGTGGTGTGTTATGTAATGAAGTGGGATGTGGTGTGTTGGTCGTGATGTGGTTTGGTGACGGGTAGTGTGGAATTTGATCTGGGTTGTGATTAGTGGTGTCGTGCGGTTTGTGGTGTGATGAATAACTTCTATTTCTCTTATATGAAATTAATTTTAATTTCGCAAGAATTTCAAAACATTTGTTTTGTGATTTGTGCTTTTCTTAGTTGTCCCTTAAAAAGTAAATTTTAGATTTTCACACCATACACACGGGTATACAGCTCGTAAATATATAAAACTTAAAAGAGAGTTTAACAACACGCTTTTATTTATGTGAGATCGCTATTACGAGAGTAGGCCATTTTTAGTTACATTTTAGTGTACAGAAGTTTACAATAACATTTTTAATTTTTTTAAATAATTAGGCTTTTTAAAGGCAAAATTGTGAAATCATCCGAATCCTCGTCGTCACCAAAGTCCGAAAAATAGTTGATTGTAATTCTTTTTATTCATATGTTTTGTTAATATAAATTACTGAAAAGGGGTCATCCATAAATGACGTCACATTCGTAGGGGGGGGGGGGGTCCGTAATTTTGTGACTATGTGTGATGAGGGGGAGGGGGGGGGGGTCCGTAATTTTGTGACGATGTGTGATGAGGGGGAGGGGGGGGGGGGGTTCAGATGTTGCGACGTCATATTTTTGCATTATAAAAAAGCAATGTTAGAAAACGAATTTTAGACGTTATTTCGCGTTTTAGATAACTGTTTGAATAAATTGTAATAGTTTAGACAAGATTTTAGAAAAATATCGATGTTTAAAAAAATTCAACTGCAATTTTGAGGGGGATTATAGGTTGAGGTGTGACGTCATTTTAGGGGGGGGGTCTGACTTTTTGTGACGACGTGTGACGGAGGGGAGGGGGGGGGGAGGTAAAAATCGTCAAAAAAGCGTGACGTCATTTATGGATGACCCTAAACTCATTTGGCTCACCGATAATCAGTCATGTTGTAGATAATAGGTTGTTTCCCCTGCAAAAAAAAAAAAAAAAAACCCTGTGCGGTCGCTGACTTTCTTCGTTTGTTGCATTTAGATTACAGGTTTAAAAAACACTCTGAAATTGCGAATCAATTTGTATTATAATCTATAACAAAGTTAATAACTAACACAGAGTGAAATAATAAAAATCAGTAAAGCGACATGTAGAATTAAACTCCTAGTATTATAACATCATAGGATCATATAGTAGGCTAGGCTGAAAAAAACTGTAGGCCTTCTTTGTAATTTTTTAGATGCATAATCTACATCTAAGGCTTCGAGTTTGTTTTGAAGATATCAAATCGATTAATTGTAAATATATGTTTAAATTCTAGTGATATTTCAATCGTATTTTCCGTTATCGACTTTCACAACCCTACACTCACCAGAAAAACCTGGCAACAATTACAGACAAAATGTCTGCTATGTAAAAAGTTGTACCACTCCCCTCAACAATGGATTGAAGCAAGGATTTGTAACTCACCTTAACTTAAATTTACACTCATTTATGTATAGATCTAGGTATATAATATATAATGAGGTAGATTAGGATAAAGTATTGTAATAATCATATTTAAATCGACTAGATCTAGAATCTAAATCTAATTCTATGCATTTTGCATCTAAAATTAATGGACACGAGCGAGAAAAGTCTCAAAGGTATTTGAGAGGTGTAGGCCTATAAAGTATAAATTCATTTAAAAATCATGCACAGCGTAGTTACAATTAATATGGTTATAAAATCCTGTCTGTCTGGTTTTTTTCGGACTTTACTAAAGATTGGATGTATTTGATGTTTATAATATTTTCGGTAACTGAATAAAAATTAAAAAAAAAGCAAAAACAATTTGGTTTTCACGTGTAATGGCGACATAAACAATGGCATCCTGCTATTGGATAGGCCGCCATTGATTTTATTGTACACATTGTAAGCTAAAAATAGAAAACTAGGTCATGGGGTTTTAAATTTGCATATTTATTTAAAAACTTGATCTGCAAAGTTTTGTAAACAAATAGTTATCGATCACTAAGTTACTGTACAGCCAATCAATATTTGTCTTACGAAAGTGAAACATCCGGTTATAACTTAGGCTTGATGAAAATAAATAGAAATGTAGCCTTAAACTCAACAAATTATTTTCAAGTTCTCTGGATTTGCAACTTTTATAGCATTTATTCTAAAAATATAAAATTTCTAAATTAATTTTAGGCTTAAGTTTTTATTTTTTTATTTTTTTTATGGTCTAAATCTAAAAAGCACGTTTTTATTCCATGACAACAACATTATGGAAGGAATCTCGTCAACTCGCTCGCCTCCATTATAAAAATAAAAAAATAAAAAGCAACAGAGAGAAAGAGAGAGAGAGAGAGATTGACTTACAAAAATAAAATTAATTAACAAAAACAATTTCACTTCTTGAATTTGGAATGTTTGGAATAGACCCAACCAAGAGGGTGTTGGTAAACTGCGAACTGGTGATGTGGTTAATTTGTGAGAAAAAAATGGGAATTCCTTTGAATCTTGGGTAAACTGTAAAACTAAAAAAGTGTAAAACTATACTAAAATTACTAAACGAAGTGACTACTTGTACTTGGAAAAAGATTTTTTGGCAGTAAATACGAAACTCTGTAGTTCTGTGCATGCGCAGTGACCTTAATAGCTGCGATAGGTAAAGGATAGTTACTAAGTTAGGGTTCTGTGGTTTGTTTGTAAACACACCCATGGCCATGCGCAGTACCATGCTGCGAATGAAGGCGGTAGTTTTTCTACATTGCGCATGCGTATCTTTTTCCATCTAGAATTGACCAATACTAAATAGCAAGACACAGTTAGTGAGACAATCTTTTGTTTCACGCTGTTGTTTGGTGGTATGTTTTTCACAAGATGTGCGAGAAGAAAAGTTGTTATAAACTAAGACAGTAGATCTAGAATCTAGATAGATCTAGATCACGAGTATTGTATGTTGTTCTCTTTTTTCATATTTTTTTTTTGATCTAATTAAGATTTTTTAGGCGCTAAATATTTCAAAATTTTATCATCGTTGCTCTTGTGATCGATCGCTCATGATTTCATAGATCCAATAACAACAAAAAAAAACAATCAAGTTTAATCCGAAAAAAATACTTGATAGTCTTCATACTATCGATTCTGCTACGCAGCTCTTGATGCGATGTGTAAAAAATAACAAAACATAAAATGAAACAAACCTCTCTTAAAAACTTCCATTTAAAAAATTCTAAGTTGCAAATTTCCTCTATAGTTGGTTGATATAAGCACTTTCTTTTTTTTTTTATTAAAGTAATATTAATTATAAACATTTTTAAAAACCAACAAAATTGATATTTATACCAAGAAAAAATAAATTGTATGCGATGGTAATAATACAAAATTCGTTTGCAACAATACAACATATGTTTACGAAGGCAGCTCCTTCGAGCACGCAGATGTTCAAAGGTGACATAAATTTCTAATTTTACTTTCTCATATATATCTACTGCGGAAGTAATGTAGTGGTGCTAAATTATTAGATCTACATTCTAACATATTTTGACAGTTTTGCCATTTTACACCTCCCTACTTTATTGTATATGGATTGTAAAATAGTATTGTAATCATACAAAAAATCAAAATCAACATTTTGAACTTTAAAAAACTATTGATGAAAATAATGTACCGTTTATTGCATTCTGTAGTTGAAATTATATTTGAGAAAGATTAAATTGTTATGCAATTATTTTTCAGATCTCAAACCCACGATCAGCTATATTAGAGTAATCAGTAAGATGTCTGCAGATATAATTGAGGGTTTTCTTTGTCCTATATGCATGAAAGATCTTGGGACTGTATCACAGCTGCAAGGACACTTTGAAGAAGAACATTCATCAGAGGATAAAGCAGTATTTCAACAGTTAAAAGGTTTTTTAAATTCTAAACTTCATAGGAACCTCATTTTATAATTATATTCAACACTCTCTTCACATATCAAGTCCTTAGTCTATTTCTTGAGACAAATTTTAAAGTACTTTGATTTATTTGATATATTGCTTCTTTGATTTAGTGTACTTCAATTAAAATCCAGATGCAGAAATGAAGTTTTTGTAAATAGTTTTGAAATTTAAATAAAAATGTTGTATTTATGCATTACATTTTTTTGATAAACCAGAAAAGTAATACTTTGTGAATGATTTCTCTGTGCCTTAGGTTTTTTTGACAAGGCTCGGAAACGAATACTTGGTGATAGGGTAGAGTCAGATGTTCAACAGGGTGAGGTCATTAAAAGAGATGAACTCGGCGGATTGTCTGGGTATGATCCATCTTGGTGGGAATATCAAGAAATTGGCAAGTTCCTTTTTTCGTTTTACATATCTACATATTTAACAGCTATATGCCTTATTGATAAATATTATTGAGAGAAATACCCAAAAATTGATTCTTTAAATAATTTCATTAATTAATGATAATATACCTTTTGTTTTATAGGTGCAGCGCGAAGTCATACAGACAGTTATAAATCAATTCGCGATGCTAGAGTGAATCATTTTGTTGTAGAAACCAACAAACTTTTAATTCGCCTTGACAAATTGCTAAGTCCTGATGCTCCTATAGATCCTAAAAAGAGAAAAGGTATAATGTTTAGAATTGTATTAACTTTTATAAAAAAAATTTCCCTTATTTTTCCCAACTGAAATTTTCTAAATGTTTATATTGACTCCAGCCTATGAAAAAGGTATTGTTCGATGGATACCAGATAATGAAGTACCTGCCTGTTTGAACTGTGGAAAATCTTTTGGAATCCTTACCAGAAGACATCACTGTAGGCTGTGTGGAGGGATCATGTGTGATAGATGTTCTGAGTTTATGGCTTCATCATATGCACGTAAGTTTTCAAACTCTTTCAAAAACTGATCCCAACAAATTCTGCTTACCACCTCGAAATATATTTCAAATGTAAATATTTACTTTTCATCCATCCACATCCTAATCTACTGGTTGATACGACAGAAAAGCTGGTCAATCCATCACACACATTTAGTGGTGAAGGCTTCCTTAAGCGAACCAACAGCAACACAAGTCTGAACTCCCTGGTGGGGAATGAAGGAGAATCCATCATGAGGGTTTGCAAGATGTGCAGGAGGTTGCTTGAGAGACGAGACATGATGACAGAGCTAAGGAATACTAAGCCAGCTATTGTCCAGATTTATGATGTTGGTACTTCACTAACTTGGAAATAATAAGTTATTCAGCTAGCTATCCAAATATCATGATATTATGTTTATAACAAGTTAACATTTTATTTGAAACCATATTTAAATGAGCTGTGCAAGCTATTGAATGCTTGCTTTTAAGTTGTTTTTTTCTATTGTAGCATTAATCATGTATCATTGTTTTAGGACAATTAACCACCATGATTTTATTATTATCCTTTTTAGAAAATGAAAATGTGCATCCAGGATGCAGAACAAATATTACCAGACTACCTGCCTATGGTTGAATCGTTAAGGTAATTTTTCCAAAAACTGGTTAGCCCATCTCATTGCTACCTATTTGTTTTTTATAACCTGGTTATGTCCCTTCATAATTGCTAGCAATTTGCAATCATCTCTATAAGTCCATATTTTGTTTCGTCAAATAGTTTTTTCCAGCTAAAACTTAAGTGGACTGAAAGCTTGCTTTGATGGTTCACTGTTGGCCATGGCAAGAAACTAGACTGAAATTACTGTGTCCTAATTATTCTTACTATTGTTGTTACCAAGGACTTAATTTTCTGTGTTGTCTTCTTATGTCTGGAGTTGTCACAGGTTTTTAACCAAGTGTGTTTTTACCAACACTAAAATATTTCTTGATCTAGTTATATGAATTCTATACTGATGTAATTTTAGTTGACTTTATTTCTTTGTCATGGATTGAAAATTTTATTATGTTTTTCTTAATACTACTAAGGTAAAAATGTCAATTAAAACTTTTAAAACTATGCGCTAAAAAGTAGACAAAAAAATATTTGAAGGAAGTTATTTTTCTTCTTTGTTGCATAAATATTGGCTTGTTATTAAAAATGTTTTATTTATTTAGTATTTATTATTCCAAATTTTGAAATAAGTATCAATATAGTAATAGCAGCATTAAAATGTAGTTTATGCAAGTCAGTTTATTTTTAATTTTTAATTAAGTTTTGGATTTTAAGAAAACAGGTGGGATAGATTTAAGAATGTCATTTGTTTGTCTCCTCAGTCAAGGTGAATCCCAATATGATTATAGACAAGCTCAGATAATGAGAACAAAACTCGTCAAATTGTATGAGGCTGTTGACCAGCTCAGGTAGGACATATTTATTAATAATATCTTGACCAGCTACTTGTGTCTTGATTAGATCAGGTGCGCCCAATTGTGCCTTGACCATATCAGGTAGGCCCTATTTGTGTCTTGACCAGATCAGGTAGGGCCTATTTGTGTCTTGACCAGATCAGGTAGGCCTAAGTGATTTAGTTAAAGAAATATAACTCTTTCATTAACATTCCCTGACAAAATGATTAATTTTTTTCTAAAATCTACTTGTTTTTTACAGTAAAAAAATTCTTGGTTTGGACCTTAATTCTGAACAAGGAAATAATCCTAAGCAGATTCATCTTCAGAAGGCGATTCGTTTGTATGCTTCCAATTTTATGCAGGAGAACCTAATGGGCCTTCAGGTAGATATATGCTGTACATTTTAAAATATTTACAAGTCTTCTTTGTTTTTCTGTCTTCAGACTTGCGCAAGTGTCTAAAAAATTACCTAAGTGTATTTCTTATAAAATTCATAGTAGAAAATTTATAATTCTAAAAACATCATAACCTACTAAATAAAAAGTTTATTTAATTCAGAGATGTAAAAACTTGTTAATAATTCAAATAGCAGACGACAATGCAACATAAAAAAGCATTCTGAGCATTGTTAATGTAAAGGTGGCCTTTAATAGTTTTACTAATGCTGGGTCAGTCTGAGGCATAAATTCATTTTTATGTTTTCATCAGCACTTTATAATGTCCTCAAGCAATATATACTTTTTTTGTGTGCAGGCATTGCCATCAGAGGAGGACTATAATAAACTGAGAGAAAAAAGGGCATCAGAAATTCAAAGAAAAATAGCAGCAGAAAGGCAAGCAGCAATGAACGCTCAGGAAAAAGAGAGGCAGGATAGAGAGCGGATAGAGCGTGAGCGTCTGGTCAAAGATGGACTTGCTTCGCCTGAAGATGGCCCTAAACCTGGCCACAGAAGAGCGGCCTCTGGTGGGGAAATACAGAAAAAGAAAATGCTGGTTGGCAAAATTCCAGTGCCAAATGTCATTCCTAAAGGTTTAATCAGGAACCAGTCTGATGAAAACATGGGCAAGGGGTGGAAACCTGTTGAAGACACTGCTCGGGTGAGTACAGCTACCGACCCAATGCTGCAGCAGATGGAAATTATTAAGGGCTACATTCGTCAAGCCAAACAGGCAAACAGGACAGACGAGATTATCATGCTAGAACAGAACCTTCAGGACTTGTATGCTGAGTACATGAGGCAGCAGCAACAAAAGGAACACTTCAACAGCTAATGTTCATTGCTTCATCTAGATTTTTAACTCATTTATTAACTAGTGCTTTCATTGTTTATTACAATTTTTATGTAACTATTACATATTTGTCAGTGAACCTGTCCATGTCAAATAGTGATTTTATTCCCCTTCCACTTTTGTACTTTGCAAATTGTTGTAAACAATCAAAGACTGTAGGACCAACACATTCTTGGAAAGAAATCGGACATGGAAACTTATGCAAATTTTTAAAAAAGGTACTTAAATACAAAATTCAGCATTGATATTCACAAAACACTTAATTGCTAGCTTCTTCAAAGCAGACCAGCAGAGGATTCATATCTTCAATAATGTATTTGTAGAAAAGCATTTGTTCATATATTTCTTCAATACCTCAGTACAGGATATGTACATCAAGAGAATTGATTTACTGCATGATAGTGCTGACTAAAACTTTTATAAGAACTTTTTTTTTGCCAGTTTGTTTTTGCGATTATTAAACTCTTGATATTGTGCAATATTGGTGAAAGCATCAAAACTATGGATCTGTGTATAGTTTGATTAGCAGTATAAAAATAGTGGACTTTGTTTTATATCAACATCATAACTGAATTTAGGTGTATGTTTTGATTACCAGCATCAAAACTGATTTTAAGTGTATGATGTTGTTATTACCAGCTGCAATAGATAAACATGTAGAAATTTGTTTGTTAATGCCAGTAGCATGCCAACTTTAGCTGTGAAATATTGTCTTTAGTAGTACTGCTAGTATTAGTTGTGTGCATGTCATAACATTTTTAGTCAACATTTTGTTGCTGTAGTGCAATAGTTTTTCTTAAACTTTTTATGAGCCGGTACTTAAGATACCTGTTTAATTTTGGTGTGAATTCTTCACTGTCCTACTTATGACATACCTGTCATGCCTACATAACTGTCATGGCTCACAGAACCCCTTAAAAATGCAACTTATTGTTTCTCTTTATATTTATACTCAAGGAATAAAATACATGACTTTGTGACCTCTTTTGGTTTTTGTTTTCTTTATTGCATCATATTTTTATACATTTTATTTCAACTTTCCATTTGTTTTTTAAACTCTTCATAACACAGGAACATATGATTCTTGCAAGACTTGCTTTTGGTTGTTCTGAGTCCAGTTGGAAAATGGTGCATGTTGTTCAAGTAAAGATGAAATAGTCCCTCCATTTTAAGACCCCCCCTGGTCCTTAGGGCAGGTGAAGTAACATTTCAGAAAACATTTTATATACGTCATTCTCTCCTAAACCTTGCCTTAAAAAAGTTTTGGTAATCCATTGAGGATTGCTGCTACCAAGTAATTCTGACTCCAGCAACTTTAAACAGCTGTTTCTACACTTTGATCAGTGAGATGTGTTATAAACCGCTTCATGTTTTGTGTAGTGGCCTTCAGTCATACCACTAAACAAACATGCATGGTATTGTGTCGAAATACACATAAGCAGTTAAGTTGAAAATAAGACCACATTTTTTAAAATAGGTTATAAAATTTTTATTAACATTAAAGTAACATTTCTACATGAGTCATTCAACTAAAACACATTCAACCCTAACACAGTACATAAAAATAAGCCAAAATGTTAATCATGCAATCCAAACTTTCTTTCATTCATAAACTACATCTTTGCGCTGGAATTTAAATTTGCCACGCAACTCTTTAGGTAACGGCACATATTTAGGACAGGGAACTTGACCAGGGATCTCACAGATACACTGGTGGCTACAGTTGGCACCAAAGTTGGCAGGGTTGGTTTTCTTCTCTTTGGCCAGTGCTTCAGCTTGCAGAGTTTCTCTGGGTGGGGAAAACAAGAAGCTTGACTCAATTTGCTCTTAAATCAACTGGCTACACTAAAGGGCTTATGGTAGCTTATATCTATATGGTATACACATCAGATAACTAGGTTATAGGTAAAGTAAATCTAGATAGTATAAACTATGCAGACTACACATCAGATAACTAGGTTATAGGTAAAGTAAATCTAGATGGTATACTGCTTATAACTTATATGCTGATAATCAACATTTATGGATTATGATTTTTAAAAAAAGCAATTAATCTTTAACAGATCTTTGAGAAATTTCACAGAATTATAGAAGAAAAATACCAATAGGTAAATAAAAGCAATAAAAGATAAAAACTGACATTTGTAGACACAATAAAGATGGTTTTGTAGCACTTATTAGAGTGTGACCCACAATATGTATAATAATGCAACCAAAGAATAGACTACTTACTCGTTTTTACAAAATATCCTTTTAACTTGGTTAAAAATTTCTTCTTTATCTTGACTGTCAATGTCTAAAACTAACTTGGATCCACCACCTATATCAAACAAGATTATCATGATTGACAGTTTCTACTAGCAAACATGTGATGGAAATACTTAACAAACTAAAGACAATCTAACAAATAGAAGTGATGCTTGTTATCAGTTTCATTTGCCTTTTCATTAAAGTAGACACCCCATTTTTTTTTATTTCTGGCTTTTTCTACAATGTTTTTTAATGAACCCATCCACAGATTTATTTTATTTGAGAACTTATGTCATTAGTGGGCATCAAGACTAGCTCATCCTAACTCTGCTGAACTGCCTGGACTCCCCTCCATTACCCCACCTAAACAAGCTGTTGTGGTGGAGGGTGTAAAAGCCTAGAGAAAAAAACTAGTCTAGTAACTGGCAACATGGTTGATTCTACATCTGTGGCTTTAGAGCAGGTTATGCCAGAACAATAATTAACACTACATGTTTTGTTCTATTTGCATAAATCTCATTGCAGCTACCATTTCATTTGCCAGTACAAGAGAGTGATAGTAGACAACCTCCCTTTTATTTTATTTTAGCAGTAAAACATGTGACTGCAGATCATTGCTGGTGAAAAAAATGACCTTTTCACAGTTTTAAGTTTTTATGAGCTGTCTTTGTTATTTTACTTATTAGTATCTTTACAAAAATTAATTTTCCAGATAGTTTAAATTTTAGGATACAAAAATTAGACCAGAAGCTTAGTAAACAAAAATAAAATCTAAAAAGTAAAAGTAAAAATTTAAAAAAAAAAAGAAAAGACAAATATTTGTACTTCAAAATTCATTTTTCACTTACTAAAGAAAATTTGTAAAAATGGTGATGGCGTCAATTCATTGTAGACACACATTTGCACATCAGGATTTTTATACTGCATTTGTGCAAAATGCCAAAATACAAACTGCCTGAATAACAGAAAAACAACAACATTCATACAGTAAAATTATTTTTTTAAACTATAAACTTTAAAAATGAGATTTTATTGTTAAACCTGTTAAGTATCACTATAAATACAAATAAAATATAAAAGCAAACACTGAAAAACATTAATAATTTATTTGTAATTACGTGTTGAAAATTGTTTCTAAACAAAAGATTTCTTGATTTTATTAATCAACTCTTCTGTACAAATTCACTATTAAATTTTGAAACGAAGTATTTGATAAATTGTTTGATCTTTATGGACACATTATAATTGTATTTTAATTGGTTTTATATTTGACAAAAAAATAGAAATAGTTTTATATTATCTTCAATCAGTTTTAAGAAATAAGTAAAGCACTTACTTGGCACCTTCACTAGATGGCTGATTTCTATTAAAGTTAAATGTGACTATTTTGACATTGTCTTTGAATACCAAACTTCCTTTCTCTAAATATTTCAATGTTCTCCTTATAGGAGCTGCTCCTTTCATAAAAGGCATTCTGAAATCATACACATTTAAAAGTTTGCTATTATTTACCAAGAAACATTCTTTTTTATAGTTTGTTGAAAACAAAAAAAAAAGCACATTCAACAATTTAATTTTTTTTTTACTGTGTAAGGTGAAAATAAAAATAATATTATAATATTGATTAGCTTGAACAGTAACATGACATTAAAAATAAACAAAATAAAATAGAAAAGTGTTGTTAGGGCCCAGACTTACACTTAATCTTTTAATTCAAAACACTAAATAATATAATAGTCTAATGTGGCTCTGTAAATAAAATTGATGTGATAAAATAGCACAATATTTAGATATGTATCCACTAGGTAATGACTGATTCCTACTATAATTCAAGCAACTTACATGAAAAGGTATTCTGTCTTTTGTACAATGTAGATGCTTTTCACTTTCTTTTGAATTTTGTATTAGGATCTGAATTGGTTTTAGTAAACAGATTATATCATTCAGCAGTGTACAAAAACTATAAGTCAATAAAATATAAAACTATTCTAAAATTTTATTATCACATTTTGCTGAACCCAGAGAAATTCTTTGTCTTAAATTTTAAAATTTATTTGAATAAATTATTAATTTATAATTAATTAGTAGGCTATTTAATTACTAATGGCAATGACCAAATTGACTTGAATCCTTCCATCCTTATTGTTTGCAATCAAAACAAACTTGAAAATGTAAAAAAAAAAAAACCTAAGCCTGCATGCAGAGTTTCTTTCAGGCATCTCTCCCTCCCCCTTCTGCCAAAGAACATCTACCGCCCGCCCCCCTCTCCCGAACAAATTACAACTTTATGTAGAACATGTTTATATGCTGTCAGCCCCCCCCCCCCCCCCCCCCCCCCCCCAAGGAGTAAAAAACGTCTGGAAGAAACGATATCTTCATGATTTTTTAAATTTATTTTATGGACCTTTTGAATAGTCAATGAGTGACTGAGTCAGTCGAGAGTCAAGTCACCAAGCAAGTGTCAAGTCAGTGAGTTGAGTGATGGGTGGCCAGACGTGCCTGAGTTCGCTCATTTACAATCTGTAGTGTAGGCCGTAGGCCTAACGAACTAACTTAGTTAGAGTTACTTATTTAATTACTTAGTAACTAAGAGCTAGATCTAGATAAATGATTAATGGTGTGACTTACTTTGTTGCATTACATAGTCTAGTTCACGTCAATAACTAATTAATTATAATATAGATCTAGGCTTATATATATGACCCTGAATTTTTTTAAACTTTTCAATACTTTTCACGCAGACCCCCTATTGTTTTTATTATTGACCTTACCATACCTTAATTTTTCATTTCAGAGTTATCTTTCTTCTCTCAGAATCTACCCATTGCTCCCTTACTTTCATTGTTTTTAATTCTGTAGATAGATCTAGCAAAATAATAGAGTCATAAGAGCTACATTACATCCATTTTATGAATGTTAAGTTTTCAAAATAAATATTCTCACTGAATTTATTTATTTTATAAAGATTTACTTTAGAAATTCTTTTTCAGACGTTTCTATACCACTAGATCTAAATCTTAACAATTAATTCCCCCTATAAATATAAAATTTAAACTTAAGAAAGATGATGGCTTACAAACTGAAACAAAACAAAGGTTTATGTGAAGGGTCAAATACTACTGCTACTGAGTAACTTACCCAGATCTAGATATCTAGTAGATCTAGATCTAGAAATGTGTAGATCTAGTATTTGTGTAGGAATGTAGCCTAGTGTACGATTATATATTCCTAATAAATTAAAAATTAGTAGTGGCCCTAATAATATATAAATATTTTTGGAGACAGAAAACACCAAGCTTGGTCCAAGCTGTACTGTAAGCGCGCTACCAACCACCCCCACCCCTACACTACATGGTCTGGTGAGCTGTGGTTCATGTTAAATGTATAGCCTACTATTTAGTGATTTAGGCCTAATAGCCTAAGAATTTATTATTAATATTAGTAATTATTAGCCCTAGGCCTAAATAATAAATATTAAATAAATATTAATTAGTAGGCCTAATAATATTAATTAGGGATTAGGCCTAAGAAATAAATAGGAATAAAATAGGGCCTAATATAAATTTTAAACTAACCTTTTTATTATTTTTTATTTTATTAATTATTAGGCATATAAAAATAATTACTCTAGAATAAAAAGCAAAGAAAGGTATTATACTATTATTGTAATTGTTATTTATTTAATACTTCCAATACTTAGGGCCTATAGAAATTTGTTATTTTGTAGGCTACTTAAGATTCTTTATTTACTCTTAAATTTTAGTATAGTTAAGTAGTATTAGTATAGATTCTAGATCTAATCTAGAGTAACTTGGCCTGGCCCGACTACGCGCCTCGAAACGAACAACTCCGTAACTCTCACTTTGAATACTAATTGCACTGTGATTTGAATGTTTTATACAGAAACATTATAATTGGTAGCAAATATGTCCATTTATAAGTCCATTTATATCAAACTTTGATCCATTGAATTACCCACAGTGGGATATGAGCAATTAAAAGCAACCCGTCATGTAGGCGGCCATTTTTATGTTGCCGGGACAAGCAAAGCCTCCTCCCGACTTAGCGTCCTTTTAAAAGAATGTTTATTATTTTTTCAGAAAAAATGATTTGAAATTGAATGGGATAGGCTACAGAACATATATTTTTTGTAAAAAATGCTATTCTCTTTACTAAATACATTTTTTTTGGGGTAGTCGTAAGGAGGATGAAAATTTACGTGTTTTGCCTGGAAACGATTACCTATAGTAAACCATAACAGAGTAATTATTCAAGCATTTTATTGGGAAGAGTTATCTCCCCTACTATTTTTTTCCCATTGTTATAAATTATATTATTTTTGGCATTTAAAAACAAATACACACTGAAACACAAAACTAAACACATAAAATATTAATAGTACAAGATTATTTATTCAACTGAGCTGAAAAAAACAGCAAAAAATGACTTAGTCGGATGGAGGAAAGACCAGTCGTTTGGAGGCAAAACCGGAAAATTGTTGACGGGTCCAGGACGACTGGGTCGTCTGTTTCGGGGGCATATATTTAAAAGTTATATTGCAAATGGAAAAAAAGGGAATACATATTTTTATTCTTCTTTGGATGGAGAGTATTTCTATGCTTTGGTTTTCATTCTATGTCAAATAGTAACGAAATTAGGTGTCTCGAACCGGAAAGGAGTCTCAGTTTCGGGCTAAGGGTGTCCGGGCCTGGTAAAGTTACTCTAGATCTAAGTGGAAATCAGCCTCATCCAGATTTAAAGATTGAAACAAAAACTTCTCACTCCTATCTAAATCTACAACTTCAACAATAAAACTATAAGACTTAGATCTATTTACCTTTGCAGATCGCCATAATTTCATTAAGCTTACTCTTGTCACATTGTCTAACTTTACAATTGATGTTGCACTAATGTGATGCCTCTCTTATCTCTACACAGTTTTGAAACATCCATATTTTTTAAAAATTCTATTAGATGAAGCCACATCCTGCATGATGTTTTAAATAGTTTCACTTTTATAACTGGCAATACTGTCATCTCTTCTATGGATACACTGGTGGATAGACCTCTTCTGATGTCATCAGTAAGATGGCCGTGTCACAACTGGACTTTTCAGAAACTTGCTGAGCTGCTCGGTGATGAAGTTTTCTCATGCAGAATTTCTAAAAAGTCTTGTGGTAAGATATGTTTGTGAGGTAGAATTTCTAAAAAGTCTTGTGGTAAGATATGCTTGTGAGGTAGAATTTCTAAAAAGTCTTGTGGTAAGATATGTTTGTGAGGTAGAATTTCTAAAAAGTCTTGTGGTAAGATATGTTTGTGAGGTAGAATTTCTAAAAAGTCTTGTGGTAAGATATGTTTGTGAGGTAGAATTTCTAAAAAGTCTTGTGGTAAGATATGTTTGTGAGGTAGAATTTCTAAAAAGTCTTGTGGTAAGATATGTTTGTGAGGCAGAATTTCTAAAAAGTCTTGTGGTAAGATATGTTTGTGAGGTAGAATTTCTAAAAAGTCTTGTGGTAAGATATGTTTGTGAGGTAGAATTTCTAAAAAGTCTTGTGGTAAGATATGTTTGTGAGGTAGAATTTCTAAAAAGTCTTGTGGTAAGATATGTTTGTGAGGTAGAATTTCTAAAAAGTCTTGTGGTAAGATATGTTTGTGAGGTAGAATTTCTAAAAAGTCTTGTGGTAAGATATGTTTGTGAGGTAGAATTTCTTAAAAGTCTTGTGGTAAGATATGTTTGTGAGGTAGAATTTCTAAAAAGTCTTGTGGTAAGATATGTTTGTGAGGTAGAATTTCTAAAAAGTCTTGTGGTAAGATATGTTTGTGAGGTAGAATTTCTAAAAAGTCTTGTGGTAAGATATGTTTGTGAGGTAGAATTTCTAAAAAGTCTTGTGGTAAGATATGTTTGTGAGGTAGAATTTCTAAAAAGTCTTGTGGTAAGATATGATTGTGAGGCAGAATTTCTAAAAAGTCTTGTGGTAAGATATGTTTGTGAGGTAGAATTTCTTAAAAGTCTTGTGGTAAGATATGTTTGTGAGGTAGAATTTCTAAAAAGTCTTGTGGTAAGATATGTTTGTGAGGTAGAATTTCTTAAAAGTCTTGTGGTAAGATATGATTGTGAGGTAGAATTTCTTAAAACTCTTGTGGTAAGATGTGCAACTTTTCCAAATGCTGATTTCATGTTTTGTATCTTGAATCTTAAAAATTTAATTGTGTTGTTCTAGGTCCAAGACCAGAGACTGACTGTGAGTATAGGGATGTCACAGTTAGACACTTTTACCAGTGGCTGAAAGGGGAAACAACTTCTGGCCCACTCAATGAGTTTTCTACCCACACACATGCCTGCTATATTGACTACAAATACATGAAGGATATGTTTTTAAATCACCCAGAGATGTTAGAGGAAGGTATGTTTGAAAAAAAGTTCGATTTTGTCACAGTAATCCAACAACCCCATTGTGTAAATATGGCTGTAGTACTGTTGTGCATGAATAGCCTGTAGGTCTACATAATACACATCAAAAGCATTTGGTTTATCACCTTTTATCTCTCCTGCAACATAACAAAAGTTTTGATTTCATGTTTCACTAAAGATTTGGCTACACTTTTATTACCAGGCTATAAAATAATTTTAAACTCAAGTAATAAAATTTTTTCTGGCACACATTGTTTGAGTTATATAGAAGAATTTAACTGTTATTTTAGTCCAATGGAAAGAATTTGGACTGAATGATTTTGATGGCTACAACAGCACCATCTGGCTGAGTAGTGAAGGGGCAAGCACTCCTGGCCATCAGGACTCCTATGGCTTCAATTTGGTCAGACAGATATATGGCAGGTAATTTATGGAAATATAATAAAACTTTTTTGTAAATTTTAGATTTGTTTTTAATATTAATTTTTTAGTTTAATGTTTACTTTGCTAAATGTTTTTGTTAATTTTTTAAATTCCAAAATAAAATGTAAATTATGTTGTTTATGAGATATAATATAGTATAATGTGGTATGTATGTGTATATGATATGAGTGTTATTATTTGTTGTAGCCCATACCAGCAATGTGTTGATGTTGTTTATACCAGAATGTGATGCTGTGTCTTACAGGAAGTTGTGGGTCCTGTTCCCACCTAAGGACAGCTGTTCCCTGTACCCAACACGCGTGCCGTATGAAGAGTCCAGTGTGTTTACACAAGTCAACATCAGAAGGCCCAACCTTCAGGCTCACCCCAGGTTTCAAGTTTGTACTTTTTTTTTCCACATATTTTTTTTATTTTTCATATAGTTAAATAAGAGTGATCTGCTATCATTGGATGTTGAAATATTAGATTCTCTTTTTAAGTTCTGTTTTTGTATTAAAATATTAAATAGTTGTTTTAGAGCCTGTTTTATTAAAATATTAAATGGTTGTTTTAGAGCCTGTGTTATTTTAATATTAGATGGTTGTTTAAGAGCCAGTTTTATTTTAATATAGATGGTTGTTTTGTTTAACAGTTGACCCATCCTGTGGTTGTCACGTTATGCCCTGGTCAAACCCTCTACGTGCCTCGTCACTGGTGGCACTATGTCGAGTCGCTGGAGCCATCCATCAGTGTCAACATTTGGGTGCCCTTAGTAAGTTGTGTGATACATCAGTTTTGTTGGTTGTCAACATTTGGGTGCCTTTAGTAAGTTGTGTGATACATCAGTTTTGTTGGTTGTCAACATTTGGGTGCCCCTCGTAAGTTGTGTGATACATCAATTTTGTTGGTTGTCAACATTTGGGTGCCTTTAGTAAGTTGTGTGATACATCAGTTTTGTTGGTTGTCAACATTTGGGTGCCTTTAGTAAGTTGTGTGATACATCAGTTTTGTTGGTTGTCAACATTTGGGTGCCCCTAGTAAGTTGTGTGATACATCAGTTTTGTTGGTTGTCAACATTTGGTCGCCTTTAGTAAGTTGTGTGATACATCAATTTTGTTGGTTGTCAACATTTGGGTGCCCCTAGTAAGTTGTGTGATACATCAATTTTGTTGGTTGTCAACATTTGGGTGCCCCTACTAAGTTGAGTGATACATCAATTTTGTTGGTTGTCAACATTTGGGTGCCCTTAGTAAGTTGAGTGATACATCAATTTTGTTGGTTGTCAACATTTGGGTGCCCCTCGTAAGTTGAGTGATACATCAATTTTGTTGGTTGTCAACATTTGGGTGCCCATAGTAAGTTGAGTGATACGTCAATTTTGTTGGTTGTCAACATTTGGGTTCCCCTAGTAAGTTGAGTGATACATCAATTTTGTTGGTTGTCAACATTTGGGTGTCCCTCGTAAGTTGAGTGATACGTCAATTTTGTTGGTTGTCAACATTTGGGTTCCCCTAGTAAGTTGAGTGATACGTCAATTTTGTTGGTTGTCAACATTTGGGTTCCCCTAGTAAGTTGAGTGATACATCAGTTTTGTTGGTTGTCAACATTTGGGTGCCCCTCGTAAGTTGAGTGATACATAAATTTTGTTAGTTGTTGTCTCATGTGATTATTGAACTTCTGCTACATATAAATTAAAACTTCTGCAATCTTCCCCCAACAGGCTTCTAATAAATTGTCTATTTTTTTTGTCACATTTAGCAAGAAGATAATGAAAGTCGTTTGAACGAAGCTGTAACTCGTTGCCTAGCAACCAGTTTGATTACCAGGCTTGATGTCAGTGAAGACAATTCCCTTATGCAAAAGTGGTTAAACCCTACTGAGGTAACTAGACTGGTTAAACCCTACAGGTAACTAGACAGGTTAAACCCTACTGAGGTAACTAGATTGGTTAAACCCTACCGAGGTAACTAGACTGGTTAAACCCTACTGAGGTAACTAGACTGGTTAAACCCTACTGAGGTAACTAGACTGGTTAAACCCTACTGAGGTAACTAGACTGGTTAAACCCTACTGAGGTAACTAGACTGGTTAAACCCTACTGAGGTAACTAGACTGGTTAAACCCTACTGAGGTAACTAGACTGGTTAAACCCTACTGAGGTAACTAGACTGGTTAAACCCTACTGAGGTAACTAGACTGGTCAAACCCTACTGAGGTAACTAGACTGGTTAAACCCTACTGAGGTAACTAGATTGGTTAAACCCTACTGAGGTAACTAGATTGGTTAAACCTACTGGAGTAACTAGACTGGTTAAACCCTACTGATGTAACTAGACTTGTTAAACCCTACTGAGGTAACTAGACTGGTTAAACCCTACTGAGGTAACTAGATTGGTTAAACCCTACTGAGGTAACTAGATTGGTTAAACCCTACTGAGGTAACTAGACTGGTTAAACCCTACTGAGGTAACTAGACTGGTTAAACCCTACTGAGGTTACTAGACTTGTTAATCCCTACTGAGGTTACTAGACTTGTTAATCCCTACTGTGGTTACTAGACTTGTTAAACCCAGTTGAGGTAACTAGACTGGTTAAACTATAATACCAGCTCTTATTTTAATTATTTAGTTACTGCGAAATTTTATTTGCAATTTCGGTTTGAAGTCTGTTAGCCATTTTGTTTGAAGGTCTTGATTGTTTTGATCTTGTCTAGGATTTGATTTCGATGGATCTAAATGTCAAGTTCCTCAAGACGGCACTGGCAAGGATATTGTCAGGGCGGTCAGCTGACAAGGCAGGGGAGGGAATTGACAAGAAAAAAGAGACATGTAAATACTCAAGGGAAATTACTGTTGAAAATGTTCAAAAGGTGGCTTGCCCAAAGTCAGTGATGGTTAACTCAAGTGACTGTTCATCTACTGTGGCTCAAGTCATATGTGGATCATCAGTCATATGTGACCCAGAAGTCATTTGTGGATCAGAAGTTATACGAAAATCATCAGACATAAGTGGGACAGAGGTTACATGTGAATCATCAGTCATATTTGAATCAAAATCATTATGTGAATTAAAAGCTGTATGTGGATCACATATATGTGAAACAAAAGTTACATGTGAAAAGCAAGTTGTCTGTGATAAGGATTATATTCACATGTTTGCTGATCACATCGCTGCATATCACACAACATGTGTTAACACACCTTTCATACTTGATGACATCACTTCCCCTACACTTGATGACATCACTTCCCCTACACTTGATGACATCACTTCCCTTAGAACTATGAAAAGAAAAGCCGACCCTACATTCAACACACCTCCCAATAAAAAACTATGTACTGCAGTCTCATGTAGCATAGAGGTGACAGATAAAATACCATGTGATCTAACTACACCTGACTTGTACATCAATCCTGGACCTCTTCACATTTATACATTAGGTTCATGTGAAGTCGGGAGTTATTTGAAGTTTGTTGATAAGTTGTGTGAGACTAGTCAATGTATGGAGTGTTTTGGTGGGAATGATGTGGTGACGGGTTCAGATGAAAACATTTTCAACAACAAAAGCAGCTCAGCCAGGCTGGTACCTGTCACTGATGACACCTCAGAGATGACACCTGTCATATGTGACATGGCAGTGCTGACACCTGTGAGTCATGACTTGTCAGTCCTGACACCTTTGACACCTGACTGCTATGAAGTTGACAATAAGTACAAGGCAGCTGACTTAAATACTAACCCACTATGTGATTCCACCATGAGCCCACTGGCTGACCCCACTATGAGCCCACTGGCTGACCCCACCATGAGCCCACTGGCTGAACCCACTATGAGCCCACTGGCTGACCCCACCATGAGCCCACTGGCTGACCCCACCATGAGCCCACTGGCTGACCCCACCATGAGCCCACTGGCTGAACCCACCATGAGCCCACTGGCTGAACCCACCATGAGCCCACTGGCTGACCCCACCATGAGCCCACTGGCTGAACCCACCATGAGCCCACTAGCTGAACCCACCATGAGCCCACTGGCTGAACCCACCATGAGCCCACTGGCTGAACCCACCATGAGCCCACTGGCTGACCCCACCATGAGCCCACTGGCTGAACCCACCATGAGCCCACTAGCTGAACCCACCATGAGCCCACTGGCTGAACCCACCATGAGCCCACTGGCTGAACCCACCATGAGCCCACTGGTTGACCCCACCATGAACCCACTGGCTGACCCCACCATGAGCCCACTGGCTGACCCCACCATGAGCCCACTGGCTGACCCCACCATGAGCCCGCTGGCTGACCCCACCATGAGCCCCCTGGCTGACCCCACCAGGATCTTATCGCGTGACCCCAGCATGCCAGACTTTGAGAACCTTTTAACAGCAGAAGAGATGGCTGAAGGTCTGCTGACCTGTGCCCTACACCCGGATGTTGTTGGCATGATAGCTCAGCTGTTTCAGGAGAGGTGTGAGACTTTGGTCAAGCTCAAGCTGGAGAAGGCATGATCACTAATTGATGTGAGACTTTGATAAAACAGAAGGCAGGTTCACTAATTGATGTGAGACTTTAATCAAACAGAAGGTGGGTTCACTAATTGATGTGAGACTTTTTGATCAAACAGAAGGCAGGTTCACTAATTGATATGAGACTTTGATCAAACAGAAGGCAGGTTCACTAATTGATGTGAAACTTTGATCAAGCTCAAGCTGAAGAAGGCAGGTTCATTAATTGATGTGAGACTTTGATCAAACAGAAGGCAGGTTCACTAATTGATGTGAGACTTTGATCAAACAGAAGGCAGGTTCACTAATTGATGTGAGACTTTGATCAAACAGAAGGCAGGTTCACTAATTGATGTGAGACTTTGATCAAGCTCTAGCTGGAGAAGGCAGGTTCACTAATTGATGTGAGACTTTGATCAAACAGAAGGCAGGTTCACTAATTGATGTGAGACTTGATCAAACAGAAGGCAGGTTCACTAATTGATGTGAGACTTTGATCAAACAGAAGGCAGGTTCACTAATTGATGTGAGACTTTGATCAAACAGAAGCAGGTTCACTAATTGATGTGAGACTTTGATGAAACAGAAGGCAGGTTCACTAATTGATGTGAAACTTTGATCAAACAGAAGACAGGTTCACTAATTGATGTGAGACTTTGATCAAACAGAAGGCAGGTTCACTAATTGATGTGAGACTTTGATCAAGCTGGAGAAGACAGGTTCACTAATTGATGTGAGACTTTGATCAAACAGAAGACAGGTTCACTAATTGATGTGAGACTTTAATAAAACAGAAGAAAGGTTCACTAATTGATGTGAGACTTTAATCAAACAGAAGGCAGGTTCACTAATTGATGTGAGACTTTGATCAAGCTCTAGCTGGAGAAGGCAGGTTCACTAATTGATGTGAGACATTGATCAAACAGAAGGCAGGTTCACCAATTGATGTGAGACTTTGTTCAAGCTCAAGCTGAAGAAACAAGTTAACTAATTCACTAATTTAGCTCAACTAAAACATTCTCTTTAGCTAGCTGAGCTGTGTTGGCACAGTGTTCAAATAAAAATATTTTTAAAATTCTGTTTAAGAAAAAGGTTTGTTTTGTCCATCGTGTTTACATGATTCAATCCCTGATATTTTACTGACCCCACCCATAATCATAACATTTTACTGACCCCACCCATAATCATAACATTTTATTGACCCCACCCATAATCATAACATTTTACTGACCCCACCCATAATCATAACATTTTACTGACCCCACCCAAAATCATAACATTTTACTGACCCCACCCATAATCATAACATTTTACTGACCCCACCCATAATCATAACATTTTACTGACCCCACCCATCATAAAATTTTACTGCCATTTTACTGGTGGTGCGGAGGGGGGGGGGGGGGGGTAATTTGCAGAAGACCAGAGACAGGTTTCTTTATTCTTCCTGCTTGATGTAAGGTGAGTCAAGGGTCACGAGGTCACGCCCTGTTGAGTTCCTACACTCGCGGTGTTGGCCGTATCTACCTAAAGTTGATCGGCCATTTCAGCCGGCATTTATCGGAGGCTAGTAAGGACAAGGGCACGTACTCGTGCAGACAAGAACGATAACTCGGGGGATACAACTGGAAGGTGAAAATGTGCTTGAGATTGTTTACTGCGAGGCCAACCCGGCACTCGTCACTAGCATCTTTGCCAGATTTCATGGTGGTGTAACAGTGGGCAAACAAGGATGGGAACTCCGTGTTTATTTGCACAGTGCCAAGAATGACGTCAGTTGCAGCCCAGAAAAATTACCCATCCCTAACCTTCACCTTATAGTATGCTCATGACTCAATATAGATTACAATATCGCTAAAAGTTTTCGTAAAACAAAAAATAAATCATGTATGGCACTTGATTTAGCTTCCGTTATACACTTGCATATGGTCTACCACTTCAATAGAACCAAAAGTACATTTGTTAAAACCGTAACCCCACTAATTACTTCCCTTGCACCAGCTTTGTTTTTAATATTTAAATCGCGTATATATCTTTTTTTTTTTAATTCTTTATTTTATTTGAAATCTGAAACAAACTTTAAAATTGAAAATAAAGATTGAAATAATGCAAATGTTTTAAACAATTATTTTTTTTAGTTTATCTCAGCAAGGAGCTTATTATATGACGGGAATTCTAAGGAAGCGCTATCTCTCAAGCTGACATTTATCGTACATCTTGATATCTAATAACGCTATCACTTCGTCGACTTAAACTGAATTACACCTTTTTTTTTTAAAAAAAAAGAATTTAATAAAAATATCCAGGTATAGTGGACGAAGGTGAAGTGATTGTAGCGACATCATAAAACATCTTTGTACAGTCTCCAATCAAGTGCAGTATTTCTAGACTACATCTCGTAGGTGTTTGTTGACGACGCTGCTGTAAATTGGAGGTGAGGTTGTAGGGTTACGTCCCCTGTTGGTGCACAAGCTTTAAAAAGTCGATGATCCTCCAGTTAATTAGTTAATATTGACAATAGCTAACTAATCAAATTGATCGAATACAAAACTTTTAACGTGTCAATACTTTTCATGTAGGCCTATTGTTTTTATAATTGAATTAGGTTAACTTTTCATTTCAGAGTTACAGTAAAAGTCCTCAACACATCCAGTCCCTTACTATTCCTTCTCCCACACCAGTATTTGTTTGTTGACATCTGAGGGTCCAACCTATCTATATTGTCTGTCGACCTCTAAGTGAAAGAACATCGTCTATTGGGTCGCTGCTGGGTCATCCATCACCAACCTACTAAACCTATTAGACCAACTAAACCTACTAAACCTATTAGACCAACTAAACCATGGAAGCCGTTAGACCAACTGCTCACCTCACCACGTGACATCCGGACGGTTATACCGTTAACCACTTCACTGTCCCTCTCACGGTCACGTGCCCAGACTTCTGGGCAGAAATATAGGTCGAAGATCCCATGCTTTTTCGCCGAAATCCGAGGCAACGGACAAACCTTGATTTTTTTTTTCTTGCTAAAAGGCCGACAAAAAGAGATAACCAAGTGTAAACTGATTAGTAACACGACTAAAATAGTTGTGCTAATCGTTTGGATCGCAACGTTTAGTTGCCAGGATTTACAGTTGCCAGATTGTATTTGCCAGGATGTTGTGTTCGTGTATTCCCAGATTTTACAGGATTTAGAGTTGCCAGATTTAATTTTACAGAATGTAGAGTTGCCAGATTGTATTGGACAGAATGTAGAGTTGCCAGATTGTATTGGACAGAATGTAGAGTTGCCAGATTTAATTTTACAGATTGTAGAGTTGCCAGATTTAATTTTACAGAATGTAGAGTTGCCAGATTGTATTGGATAGAATGTAGAGTTGCCAGATTTAATTTTACAGGATGTAGAGTTGCCAGAATCTGTTATCTAGGACCCAGAGTTGCCAGGAAGTAGAGTTGCCGGGTTGTAAAATTGCCGGTATGTTTATTTTATTGTCATATCATGTCACAGTTGACATGAGATAAGCGCAGGTTCCCGAAGCTACTTATCACACGGAGGCTGAGATCCTGGCACTGACCGGCCAGTCTCAGCAGGAGGAGACCCGCCGCTAGAGGCCGCTGCTGCCTCACCTTATCACCAGACATAACAGAAATGGTGTCGTAAACACGCAGACGGCAGCCAACTGAAGGGCAGGCGACTTCGTAGGATACGAATCAGCTTTCGTTTTTAGGATCATAAAATAACCCTTGGGACTTTTTAAATATAAAGAGCGAAACTTTTTTTCCCGGGTGATCCGTACAGAAGTTATCAGTGGAGGGGCGGAGTGGGGGGAGGGGGGGGGAAGGGAGGGTAGGCAACTGTATCTGGGTTTAGGTTTAAGATTAAGGCTACGATAAAACAACATGTGTACTTAGGAACGCGCCTGTCAATTTTTTTTGTTCTTTGACCTTGATACACAGCCAGATATTCTCTCATCCCCCCCCCCCCCCACACCCCGCACTCCATGCTTACAAAATTAAAGATGGTTTTCAATTAATTTTAATTTACTTAGTGAACATTTTCTTCTGCTGTATAATTTTAACATTGTGGTATCGAAAAAGGTCTCCGTATTTTACAGCCTACCACCCCGTCCCTACCCACTTTGTCCTTACCAAACATCAAACCTTCTCACACAACTCAGTGCACGTGACTTCTGGGTGTTACGTCAGAGCTGTGACGTCATCCGGTAGAACTCTGGTACCCAGATTAGCCAAGGTGCTAAAACAGCGGGTCGAACGTGCTGATCTATTTATAGATACAGCAACCTCATCAACGGATACTTTTTGAGGGTTCACTTCTTCAGATCGCTCAGCAGGGTTCAGTTCTTCAGCAAGATAGTTCCTGAGGGTTCAGTTCTTCATCTCAATAGGTCTTGGGGGTTCAGTTCTTCAGCTAGATAGCTCCTGAGGGTTCAGTTCTTCATCTCAATAGGTCTTGGGGGTTCAGTTCTTCAGCAAGATAGTTCCTGAGGGTTCAGTTCTTCATCTCAATAGGTCTTGGGGGTTCAGTTCTTCAGCAAGATAGTTCCTGAGGGTTCAGTTCTTCATCTCAATAGGTCTTGGGGGTTCAGTTCTTCAGCAAGATAGTTCCTGAGGGTTCAGTTCTTCATCTCAATAGGTCTTGGGGGTTCAGTTCTTCAGCAAGATAGTTCCTGAGGGTTCAGTTCTTCATCTCAATAGGTCTTGGGGGTTCAGTTCTTCAGCAAGATAGTTCCTGAGGGTTCAGTTCTTCATCTCAATAGGTCTTGGGGGTTCAGTTCTTCAGCAAGATAGTTCCTGAGGGTTCAGTTCTTCATCTCAATAGGTCTTGGGGGTTCAGTTCTTCAGCAAGATAGTTCCTGAGGGTTCAGTTCTTCATCTCAATAGGTCTTGGGGGTTCAGTTCTTCAGCAAGATAGTTCCTGAGGGTTCAGTTCTTCATCTCAATAGGTCTTGGGGGTTCAGTTCTTCAGCAAGATAGTTCCTGAGGGTTCAGTTCTTCATCTCAATAGGTCTTGGGGGTTCAGTTCTTCAGCAAGATAGTTCCTGAGGGTTCAGTTCTTCATCTCAATAGGTCTTGGGGGTTCAGTTCTTCAGCAAGATAGTTCCTGAGGGTTCAGTTCTTCATCTCAATAGCTCCTGAGGGTTCAGTTCTTCAGTTGGATACATCGGGTGGGCCGAGTGGGTTCAGTTGTTGCAAGTTCCTCACGAGTTACCTGTGTCTACCTACCTTCGAAAATAGGATGTCACGTCAGAGGCTGGTGACGTCATCAAGGTGATACCCTGGTCTCGGTCACGTGACAATCTGCCGTGGGCTAACTAAGCTGGTAGTCTCAGTAGCATGAAGTGGTTTGCTACATACACACATACTCATTAGACATACACATACTCATAAGACATACACACATACTCATTAGACATACACACATACCCATAAGACAAACAGACATGCCAATAAGATTACTAAGTCTTAAAGATCAAACACACACACACACACCTTTAGCCACCACCTAGATACAATTATTCGCATCATAAAACCATACAAAGACCCCAACACAACATGAATACCCAAATTCTAATAATAAACACACTAACTAAAAGACCGCACACATATAGAAATACCCATTAAGCTAAACATACTGCAATGAAGATCCAACATCTAGCGTCCCGTCAAAATGGCAACAAATGTTTTCTAGTCTTTGTCTAACTCTGGTGTTCATATTCATACATGTCACAATCAATTTCATGAAACTGGCCCAGAAACGTGAACTGTGGCCGACACCCCCCCCCCCATTTAAAATTAAGATCCCTTTCAGCCGTACCATGAGTCCAGAGTTTTTGAACTGCTGGTACTACCTCGTGCTGATTACAACCTCACCCTCCCCTTATTACGTATATCGTCTGTTAACTCACAGCGGGAGAGGGGGCTGTAAAGGATGGGCTTGTGCCGACTACTCACGTTGGCTAGAGCAGGAGAGTGGCTCCCCCTCCCCCCCTCCCCATCTAGGTCTGGAGCGTGAGTTACATCCACATAATGTGGCGCTCATCCGTGACGTGGAATCGGTGATGGGCGCGTGCACTATCTGCGCATGTTTTCATCTACTCACGCAGGGGTGTGGGGATGGTTGCCTTCACTAACGTGAGTAAACGCGCGAGGTTGCACGAGACTTTGTCTACTGCTGCTGTTTGATTCGGCAATGTTTTCTCTGTCGGATTTGTAAGATCGGATTATTTGAATTAAGGTAAGGATTAGCTGATGGGTTTTGTTCTGTATGTACATAAAACAGCAGTTCATTCTAAGATTAACAGAGACGGTGTTGTGTTTTAATGTGTTTAGTGTTTGTGTTATGGTGTTCTGGTGTTTGTGTTTTTTCTGTCGTACTTGTGTTTTGGTGTTGTTGTGTCTGTGTTATGGTGTTTTAGTGTTTTGCGATGGTGTTTATGTTGTGGTGTATGTGGTTATATTTTGATGTTGTTGTGTTTGTGTTTTAATGTTGTGTTTTGGTATCTATGTTTAGTGTTTGTGTTTCGCTGTTTGTGGTACATGTGTTTTGATGTTGAGTTATGGTGTCTGTGTTGTGGTGTCTGTGTTTTGGTGTTTGCGTTGTGTTTCGTCTGATGGTGTCTGTGTTGTGGTGTTTGTGGTGTGTGTGTGTTGTGGTGTTTGCGTTGTGTTTCGCCTGATGGTGTCTGGTGGTGTCTGTGTTGTGTTTCGTCTGATGGTGTCTGTGTTGTGGTGTTTGTGGTGTGTGTGTGTTGTGGTGTTTGCGTTGTGTTTCGTCTGATGGTGTCTGGTGGTGTCTGTGTTGTGTTTCGTCTGATGGTGTCTGTGTTGTGGTGTTTGTGGTGTGTGTGTGTTGTGGTGTTTGCGTTGTGTTTCGTCTGGTGGTGTCTGGTGCTCCACTGACTCTGGCTCTACACAACACACCTCTGACGTAACAGACGGCAGGTCACGTGATACTGTCGACCTGTCTGGCCGAGTGCTTAAAACAGCACTAATTAATAACAGCACTAATTAATTAACGAGGGAGTGTGGACAGCTGTAGACAAGAACAGCAGGGAAAACACACACAATAATAATTACACGTTTTACATTTTTCCAAAGTTGTAGATGCGTGTTCGTTTTAGGTCATGATAATTAGTGCATTTGTAGTTTGTATTTGTTAGTTTGGCGTTTATTGGTGTTTTTATGTTTCAGTGTGTAATGTGTAGGGATATGTCTAGAAATTAAAATAAAAACACCCCCTTATTTGTAAACGTCCTAATGAAGGAGGAAAATGTCGGAGATGGGGGGGGGGGTGAGACTATAAATAAACATCGCAGCGTTCGATTCCAGACTGGCCACAGAGGAGCCTGGACTTGAGCCAAATCTGACCTTCAGGTACCACCTCGACACATTTATGTACTCACTCATCCAGCTCTGACGGAGTCCTTATGCCGTAGCACCGTCTTAGCCCCGTCTGTTAACGGCTCTTACCATTGACCTAGAAACATCAGAGTTCCAGAGATAAGACCAGGTGGATGGTGGCACGCTCCTGGACTGTAGGCAGAGGTGGGGAATTTATTACACATGGAGGTGGGCTGGGGGAGGGGGTATTCAGTCGTATGAATTTATCGTGTTACTACACAGACTAAAACTTGAGTCGGCTGATTTGAAAGCCGGATCCTTTGTTTTGAATAGGGCCTATTTAAAATTATAAGAAATATTTGTGTCAGTTGAACTTCATCTATCAACTTAACAAGCACCCACGCTCTTCAACTATTTACTTTTTAGGTAGTTCAGTGAAATATTTGACCGAATGTTGACATTAGATATTAGTAATTAGGAAGCTCAAGTTAATGTAAGATGGCGGGTAATTAAGGAAAGATAACTCACATTTGGGTTTTTTATATCTTGGTCAAGTGAATAACCTTCCTTGTTGAGCGGTAGATACACTAGGATCGTTGAGTTTATAAGTGCATTTAAAAATAACGCTCCGAAACTGTAATTTTCTGACGAAATCAACTTTGTTATATGTTTTACCTTAAACATATGAACGTACGACGACACCATTTTCTTATGTGTACATGTGATGGGTTATTGCTCTACAGGAGTTTGCGTCAATACGTTGATTCTTCTCCATTGTTAGTTTCTGTCAGTCACATTGCTGTCATTTACGTAGTTAATTTTTTGTCAGTCATATTATAGTGATGCATTTTTCAATGGCATCAATAAAAGAGTGTCTTATAATAGAGCGTTCATTAAACTAACTTTACTACAATAGTGATGTTACAATGGGGCTGTCATTGAACTAACTTTACTACAATAGTGATGTTACAATGGGGCTGTCATTGAACTAACTTTACTACAATAGCGATTTTACAATTGGGCTGTCATTGAACTAACTTTACTACAATAGTGATGTTACAATTGGACTGTCATTGAACTAACTTTACTACAATAGTGATGTTACAATGGGGCTGTCATTGAACTAACTTTACTACAATAGTGATGTTACAATGGGGCTGTCATTGAATTAACTTTACTACAATAGCGATTTTACAATTAGACTGTCATTGAACTAACTTTACTACAACAGTGATGTTACAATTAGACTGTCATTGAACTAACTTTACTACAACAGTGATGTTACAATTAGACTGTCATTGAACTAACTTTACTACAACAGTGATGTTACAATTAGACTGTCATTGAACTAACTTTACTACAACAGTGATGTTACAATTAGACTGTCATTGAACTAACTTTACTACAACAGTGATGTTACAATTAGACTGTCATTGAACTAACTTTACTACAATAGTGATGTTACAATGGGCTGTCATTGAATTAACTTTACTACAAAAGTGATGTTACAATGGGGCTGTCATTGAACTGACTTTACTACAATAGTGATGTTACAATGGGGCTGTCATTTAACTAACTTTACTACAATAGTGATGTTACAATGGGCTGTCATTGAATTAACTTTACTACAATAGTAATGTTACAATGGGGCTGTCATTGAACTAATTTACTACAATAGTGATGTTACAATGGGCTGTCATTGAATTAACTTTACTACAATAGTGATGTTATAATTGGGCTGTCATTGAACTAACTTTACTACAATAGTGATGTTACAATGGGGCTGTCATTGAACTAACTTTACTACAATAGTGATGTTACAATGGGGCTGTCATTGAACTAACTTTACTACAATAGTGATGTTACAATGGGGCTGTCATTGAACTAACTTTACTACAATAGTGATGTTACAATGGGGCTGTCATTGAACTAAATTTACTACAATAGTGATGTTACGATGGGCTGTCATTGAATTAACTTTACTACAATAGTGATGTTACAATGGGGTTGTCATTGAACTAATTTACTACAATAGTGATGTTACAATGGGCTGTCATTGAATTAACTTTACTACAAAAGTGATGTTACAATGGGGCTGTCATTGAACTAACTTAACTACAATAGTGATGTTACGATGGGCTGTCATTGAATTAACTTTACTACAATAGTGATGTTACAATGGGGATGTCATTGAATTAACTTTACTACAATAGTGATGTTACAATGGGCTGTCATTGAATTAACTTTACTACAAAAGTGATGTTACAATGGGGCTGTCATTGAACTGACTTTACTACAATAGTGATGTTACAATGGGCTGTCATTGAACTAACTTTACTACAATAGTGATGTTACAATGGGCTGTCATTGAATTAACTTTACTACAATAGTGACGTTACAATGGGCTGTCATTGAATTAACTTTACTACAATAGTGATGTTACAATGGGCTGTCAATGAATTAACTTTACTACAATAGTGATGTTACAATGGGCTGTCAATGAATTAACTTTACTACAATAGTGATGTTACAATTAGACTGTCATTGAACTGACTTTACTACAATAGTGATGTTACAATGGGGCTGTCATTGAACTAAGTTTACTACAATAGTGATGTTACAATGGGGCTGTCATTGAATTAACTTTACTACAATAGCGATTTTACAATTAGACTGTCATTGAACTAACTTTACTACAACAGTGATGTTACAATTAGACTTTCATTGAACTAACTTTACTACAACAGTGATGTTACAATTAGACTGTCATTGAACTGACTTTACTACAATAGTGATGTTACAATGGGGCTGTCATTGAACTAACTTTACTACAATAGTGATGTTACAATGGGCTGTCATTGAACTAACTTTACTACAATAGTGATGTTACAATGGGGCTGTCATTGAACTAATTTACTACAATAGGGATGTTACAATTTGGCTGTCATTGAACTGACTTTACTACAATAGTGATGTTACAATGGGGCTGTCATTGAACTAACTTTACTACAATAGTGATGTTACAATGGGGCTGTTATTGAATTAACTTTACTACAATAGTGATGTTACAATGGGTCTGTCATTGAACTGACTTTACTACAATAGTGATGTTACAATGAGGCTGTCATTGAACTAACTTTACTACAATAGTGATGTTACAATGGGGCTGTCATTGAACTGACTTTACTACAATAGTGATGTTACAATGAGGCTGTCATTGAACTAACTTTACTACAATAGTGATGTTACAATGGGGCTGTCATTGAACTGACTTTACTACAATAGTGATGTTACAATGAGGCTGTCATTGAACTAACTTTACTACAATAGTGATGTTACAATGGGGCTGTCATTGAACTGACTTTACTAAAATAGTGATGTTACAATGAGGCTGTCATTGAACTAACTTTACTAAAATAGTGATGTTACAATGGGGCTGTCATTGAACTAACTTTACTACAATAGTGATGTTACAATGGGGCTGTCATTGAACTAACTTTACTAAAATAGTGATGTTACAATGGGGCTGTCATTGAACTAACTTTACTACAATAGTGATGTTACAATGGGGCTGTCATTGAACTGACTTTACTAAAATAGTGATGTTACAATGAGGCTGTCATTGAACTAACTTTACTAAAATAGTGATGTTACAATGGGGCTGTCATTGAACTAACTTTACTACAATAGTGATGTTACAATGGGGCTGTCATTGAACTAACTTTACTAAAATAGTGATGTTACAATGGGGCTGTCATTGAACTAACTTTACTACAATAGTGATGTTACAATGGGCTGTCATTGAACTAACTTTACTACAATAGTGATGTTACAATGGGGCTGTCATTGAACTAATTTACTACAATAGGGATGTTACAATTTGGCTGTCATTGAACTGACTTTACTACAATAGTGATGTTACAATTAGACTGTCATTGAAGTAACTTTACTACAATAGTGATGTTACAATGGGGCTGTCATTGAATTAACTTTACTGTAAGTGCTGCTCAAACAGAAGTGGGGTTTGTGACTTAAGCATGCTTCACATCAACACCCCAGGGACTTAAGCACGGTTCACATAACGACATTATTGTCTAATTGACAATATCGTAATAATCGTGAGCAGTAATTGTAATGCACGAGGAGGGTATCACGTGATCAGGGCAAGCACTAGATAGGCTGGCTATGCTGAAGGGTCTCAAGGGCTTGCGGTTAGTCGAGTTGGGTGGGGGTGGGGGAAAGGGATGTGGGGGGGGGGGGGGAAGGAAATTATACATTCAAATATTAAACAGATGGCTGGTTGGATCCTTATGGTTGGACGAGAATACAAAGTTCATTAACTGGAGATGAAAGAACAGACTGAATGATTGACAGACAGAGAGACATACAGACAGACAGACAGACGGATGGACAGACAGACAGACAGAGAGAAGTTAAATTTAATAAAAAATATTATAGATGCGCTAACGTGTTGGTTAAAAACATACCAACTACAATCATTGGAGGAATACCTGTACTGTTGAGAGGACAGTTCAAATATTACTCACACGTCTCCACACAGACTGTAGGACAGACAAGTCGGGTTGATTAAAGGTTTGAGAAATGTGAACAGTTAGTTCGTTCATTAGTTTGTTGTTGCACACGTTGGGAACGATGGTGTCTGGAGAATGTAACGATGGTGTCTAGAGGGTGTAACGATGGTGTTTGAAGGGTGTAACGATGGTGTCTAGAGGATGTAAGAATGGTGTCTAGAGAATGTAACGATGGTGTCTAGAGAATGTAACGATGGTGTCTAGAGAATGTAACGATGGTGTCTAGAGAATGTAACGATGGTGTCTAGAGAATGTAACGATGGTGTCTAGAGAATGTAACGATGGTGTCTAGAGAATGTAACGATGGTGTCTAGAGAATGTAACGATGGTGTCTAGAGAATGTAACGATGGTGTCTAGAGAATGTAACGATGGTGTCTAGAGAATGTAACGATGGTGTCTAGAGAATGTAACGATGGTGTCTAGAGAATGTAACGATAGTGTCTAGAGAATGTAACGATGGTGTCTAGAGAATGTAACGATGGTGTCTAGAGAATGTAACGATGAGGTCTAGAGGATGTAACGAGTCTAGAATTTGATTTAAAGATGACAAGTGAATGACAGGTGACATGGCAGTTGACATGTTAGGTGACAGTAACTCACCACCAAACAGGCAATCACTTTCAGATCAATCGTAATCTGACATTTGTTTTTCAATTTGTCTGTCTAGACATGTTGACTATCTAGACACGTTTTACCTGTCTTGACATATGTTGAGTGTCTAGACTTTCAGTAATTAAAACACATAATGTAATTATTTTAATGACGCGCCGACTTCTGTTTGTTGTAATCAAACGTTGCCATGGTTACTGATTGTTTGATCCATGTGCCTGCTGTTCGTGACGTCACGTACCTGATTTGTTTACACCAGGTGGTTTCGATTGTGACGTCACACAACGAATATTATGGATTGATTGTTTTTTGTTTTTCAGTTTAAGTCAAGGTCTAGACTAGTCTAGAGAGAGTGGGGAAGAAAAGCAAACGCCAGCCATTAATTTGATTTAACCTTTACTTTTTAATTTTATCCCCAGAAGTCACGTCACGTGATTCTAAATGGCCGCCATTTTACCGGATGTGACGAGCTGTGGCTCCAGAAACCACGTGGTAAGTGTTTTTGTCAGTGGGTGCTGCAGTAAATCTTGACCTTTTAAAAACTTGACAATGTACAATGACTAACTTAAATCAAAACACATCGTTTGGCTGTTTAGTTCTTAAAGAAACTTTTTAAAAAAATATGTACACCAAACACGCTTTCTTTTTTTCCGACTGAGATCATATGTTGTGTTTTATTGTCAGACCTTGTGTAGTGGTTTCATCACATTTGTGTAGGTCCTACGTGACCTACTGTGTCGCTGGGTCACGCCGATATTGGATGGTGACCTTGACGTTTGTGAGTGACCATGACCTTTGACTGGTCAAAATGTTATTAATCTGTTACATTAACGCACTGACCTAAGTTGTGGTTAAGATTTCTCTAAGACTCTCAAAACCAACAAAGACACCATCTCGAGGCTTTCAGAGGTCTTTTGTACCTTACTCTGGATTTTAGATGGAGCAAAGATCACAACATGCCTGTATTGAGATGGAGCTAAGATTACAAAACTGTATTTAGATGGAGCTAAGATTACAAAACTGTATTTAGATTGAGTTAAGTTTACAAAATTGTATTTAGATGGAACTAAGATTACAACACTGTCTATATTTATATGGAGCTAAGATTACAACATTTATATGGAGCTAAGATTACAACACTGTCTATATTGATATGGAGCTAAGATTACAGCCCTACCCGTCAACACACAAAGGGATCCCTTGTTGGCCGGCTCTACCGAGAGATTCACCTCAGACAAGTTAGCCACACAGACCAAGTTCCCACACTGCTAATCTTTGCACTTTAACATTTTATTTATCAAAGCCGTTCAGAAATAGTTTGTCTCTTTACATCTTTATCCGGATTTTCATTGGCTAGTTATAGTTGAGGTCAGAGGTTATGTAGGTCAAGGATACTAAAGGTCATAGGTTATGTAGGTCAAGGAAACTAAATGTCAGAGGTTATGTCAACACATTGTGATAATATAAAATACATAGAATTTTGCCAGCGGAGAACTCTGCATTGTAACAGTAGTTATTGCCCCTGAATGGCCACTTCTATAAAATAACCATCATAGACGTTATTTTTTAAATTCATATTGGAGTCCAATAAAAATGTAATTATTTTATGTTTAAAATATACAAATACTCATATACGTCATATATAATACTAATGTCTCCTAAATAATAAACAATGATTTACATTTTTATTTCATTAATGTTGATTCTCACAGAATTTTAAAGCATTTTAAGAACATAATTATATTTTTATGTCCCTTTAATTTTTAATATTATAAATGGGAAGTAATCTCCTTCTGTCCCTTAATTTTTTAAAGTGTGAACAAGGAATGATGAGACCAGTCCAACAGTCGCCTCCCCCCACTCAGCTGCTCGCCATACCATTTGAATATTTCCTAGCCCTTACCCTCATCTTAACATTACCTTACAGTTAGGGTTAATGCAAATTAGGTTTAGGGTCAATTTGTAATTGACAAGAGTTAAAGTCAAGGGCAGTGAACTGATCGGGGGAGGGGGGGGGGAGTCGGATTAATTGGCGAGTAATCCGCTCCAGATGCTGACAAATCAGCGATGTACATTTGTTTATTTTGGTCAGATTTGGCGCGGTTTTTTTTTTGTCTCTGTGACGTCACCGACTCCGCGGAGGAAGAATTTTGGCGCGAAAGATGAAAGGCGATGGAAGGGTTTTCTCCTGGGACCTGCTCAACATGTGGCAGTTATCGTCTGCTGCTGGCATGTGAGATGTTGACATTCAGGGGGCCGATTGTTCTAGATGCTATGTAGTGTGAGATGGGGGAGGGGGGGGGGGGTGAAGAAGGACAAGTTTGACGTCACATACTAAGTAATGGTTATATGTGGTGCTCGTTTATATATATATATATATATATATATATATATATATATATATATATATATATATATATATATATATATATATATATATATATATATATATATATATGCACACGTAATGTCAACTTGCTCGACTACAGTGTTTCTTCCAGACTTTTTTCTCCGGGGGGGGGGGCACTTGAAATTTTCAGGGGGGCGGTAGACTTTCATCGGGGGGGCGGACACTGTTAAAAGTATATATTTTCAATACAAATTATATAAATTTCATTTCGTTCGGGGGGGGGGGGGGGCGGTAAAAAAATTTCTGGGCCCTTCCAAAGAGATGCTTGGAAGAAACTCTGCTCGATTAACTAGACTTCCGACTTTATGACTTACGAAAACCTATGTGATCAATGACGAACATCTGACCGACACCTGTTCCCGTTAGTGGCGTAGGCAGGGGGGTTGGGGGGGTCATAACCCCCCATAGACCCCTCGGTTTATATAGATAGTATGAGGGGGGGTGGAAATCGAAAGTTTGAGGGGGGGGGGTGCAAATCAAAAGTTTGAGGGGGGGGGTGCAAATCGAAAGTTTGTCCCCGGGTAAAAATTGGAACCCCCACTGGTTCCCGTCGATGGCCCACGTGACTGTTATGACATAACAATGACAGATCACCCCTTCATCAGTACCGATGACCTATGTGACCTAATACTAGTACTGACCTCTCTCCTCCTTCTAAGAAATCTGGAACTTACGACCCCCCCCCCCCCCCCCCCCCCCCACACACACACACACACTTACCAGACGAAATCTGACACAAGTGCCGACAACTCGTATTGACCTAAATTAACAATCACCAGGTCCAAGCTGTCCCTCAGCTGACCTACTTATCTACCCCCCCCCCCCTCCCACCATATGCTTTACACCAGTGACACCCCTCATTAGCCAAAACACAAAGACCAACAACAAAAAAATGACACCATCACGTGACTCACATCAGCTGACCTTGACACTGAATCATGGTCTCTCGCGTGAGCCGTGTGCCCGACCCCCCCCCCCCCCCCTCCCAGTGTCAGGCTTACGCTTCAGTTAGAGTTATGTCTATGCAGAAACCAAATAATTCACGTGCTGTGTTATGGCTAGCTTTCAGGGTTTCTTTCATGCATTTCTCCGTAATTTACACAGAAAACTATACTTTAACAAATGTCCGTCCACATACCGCTCCCCCCACCGAAAGTTTATGTGCACCCCCCCCCCCCCTGCAGAAAAATGTCTAAAAGCAACCCCGCTAGCTCTGTATCACTGTAACAAATTCATCTAGTCTGATGTAGATATACTAGCTAACCACCCAGCTGAGTATTACTGTAACCTATGTATCGAGTCTGATGTAGATATACTAGCTGTGTATTACTGTAACCTATTTATTGAGTCTGATGTAGATATACTAGCTGTGTATTACTGTAACCTATTTATTGTGTCTGATGTAGATATACTAGCTGTGTATTACTGTAACCTATTTATTGAGTCTGGTGTAGATATACTAGCTAACCACCCAGCTGAGTATTACTGTAACCTATTTATCTATTCTGATGTAGATATACTAGCTGTGTATTACTGTAACCTATTTATTGAGTCTGGTGTAGATATACTAGCTAACCACCCAGTAACGGCTACATGAAGAAATACCCAGCTGTGTACGAGCTAAATAGCGACTGTTTGTATCGTTATTTAAGCTCCGCGCTGGGTTAGGGAAATCTTGCCAATCCAATCAGTTCCTGAAATAGCTGAAAGCTGCAATTGTTCTACAGATCGTGTTTAGTTCTAATGTCTGGGGATATCACAATGGAAACTCTCTCCATTCATTGCTAAGTTCATACCGGCTTTATTGAACACTTATACTAGATATATTGAACATTTGACATATGTGTAGAATTCTATTGAACAATTGACATATTAGTGCAAACTTTATACAACAATATTACCTCTTGTATCTAGAAAATTCCATGGGTCGTTGATCCAGTGGTATAGAACCATGCCCCGTTTATTGATCCATATATATATATATATATATATATATATATATATATATATATATATATATATATATATATATATAATAACGATGTTTATCTTTGGTCTGTTAATAATACAGTTTTCTCTATTGTTAGCACGTTTACATCATGGTGTCATCCTTACCCGCTAGTAATACTTGTCGATTTGTACTTAAAAGACTATTTTACTTTAATTAATTATTAATGGAACTGGCAAAAAAGCATTTTTCTTATGTACATTTTGCCTTTTTTGCCTTGGTGTCACCCCCCCCCCCCTAAATGGTGTCAAACGGTGCGATCCGCACCCCCGCCCCGCCCTCGCTACGCCTCTGTATAGAGTCAAGTGTATATGCATGTATTTTACATTACATTTCTCGCCTAGTCTAGTCTGAGCCTTTCTACTGAGACTTGCCTCAAAGTTTGAAAGTTGATGATTTGTTCCACATACGGACTAAATTTATGTTTTTAAATCAAATTTTCATGCACACTTTCAAAATCAAGTTTTGACGCACGCCTTAAAAAATCAAGTTTTGATACACGCCTTAAAAAAATCAAGTTTTTCTGCACGCCTTAAAAATCAAGTTTTGACGCACGCCTTAAAAATCAAGTTTTGATGCACGCCTTAAAAAATCAAGTTTTGATGCACGCCTTAAAAAATCAAGTTTTGATGCAGGTTCCCACGCCTTTCAATCATTTAAATTTACCTGTGAGCACCTTCACCAGTCTATTGCAGGGGGGGGGGGGGTAACGTAGGATGGGGAGGGGGGGGTGGACAACATTCAACATAGACTTACCTGACAGTTATCTAAACTTTGAGTGCCGCGTTGGAAAAAAAACTTCGCACTTTTGGTTTACAGATAACCTTTAAAAAAAAAATTGTTTTCGTTAAATTGTAAAAAAAATGTGTATGATTTAGCACTAGGGTGTACCCGTTGTGTAGTTGTATAAATGTGTATGATTTAGAGTGACCCTACACAGTGACACACCTACTGACCAGAGCAGCACTGTATTCACCTTTTGTCCTATGTATGATGTGTGTAGTGTGTTAAGTGTGTGTTGTGCAATGTGTTGTATGTATTATGTGAACTTTATTTGAAGCTGACAGAATTTTTTAAAATTTTCGCAAATGTCTGTAGGTGGACGTTCATTAAAAGTAATCATTAACTACACTGTTAACATTAAAGTAGGTTTAAACACCATCTCAGGAAAAGATTTCAATCTCTTATCTTCGAAGTTCACACAGGCAATACATCACGGTTTTGGCTTCACTTTCAGATAAGAATTACAGTCAGAATGACTTCATAAAAATAATTTTATGACTTAATCCCCACCCTTCTCCCGCGAGATACTACACCCCCACTCATACACGCAAACACACACACACACACAAATTAAGCAATTGAAAGAGAATTTTCCACGTTAAATAAATTTTTCAGCAACAATTTTTGTAACTAATTGACCAAAAAAATCGGCTTTTAGACTTTTGAAAAGTTTTTTAATGCTGTTGTAACCCATGAATTTTCGCAACATTCAGAATTGAACGTCTGCTTCTTGGTTTAACGTCTGCTTATTGCCCCCCCCCCCCCCCCCCCCCCTCACCTTTTTATTTGATCTGATGTGTACATTTTGTTTGTACCCTGCGTGAGTAGAGAGAGGAAAACGAATGATTTGACCCAGTTCTTCAATGACTCACGTCAAACGTCAGACGTACGTCACACCTCCCCACCCCCAGCAGACGATAAACTATTTGCCAGTTTTGTTTCACCTCATAGCCTGGCCTAATGAACTTGTTTTTCAGCGTTCATTGTCCAAAATTCTCTGCTCGCACTTCTTATTTTTTTTACCAAAATTATACACTGTTTAAAATACTTACTAACTACCCAAACTTTAGCGTCACAGAAGGTCACTACAATGTCTAGTAAACTTTACTTACCCTTAGATTGTTAACGTTTTGTGTTGTTGTTTTTTTTTTTTTTTGTGAATTTTAATTTATATAAGCTGACGGCGTGGTCGAGTGATTGAGTGCTCGGTTGGTGAGACGAGAGTTTCGAGGACGGTTCGAATCCATATAAACGCTACCAGAGATGCAGGGATAAGAGCAGACCACATGTTTCATAGGGCCACATGTTTCATAGGGCCACATGTTTCATAGGGCCACATGTTTCATAGGGCCACATGTTTCATAGGGCCACATGTTTCATAGGGCCACATGTTTCATAGGGCCACATGTTTCATAGGGCCACATGTTTCATAGGGCCACATGTTTCACAGGGCCACATTTGCCCTATATGATAAGTTCATATTTCTGTTTATTATCCTGTAGAGTCCCCACCATCTGAATGTTTTCTGTTTATTGTCCTGTAGAGTCCCCACCATCTGAATGTTTTCTGTTTATTGTCCTGTAGAGTCCCCACCATCTAAATGTTTTCTGTTTATTATCCTGTAGAGTCCCCACCATCTAAATGTTTTCTGTTTATCATCCTCTAGAGTCCCCATCATCTGAATGTTTTCTGTTTATCATCCTCTAGAGTCCCCACCATCTGAATGTTTTCTGTTTATTATTCTGTAGAGTCCCCATCATCTGAATGTTTTCTGTTTATTATCCTCTAGAGTCCCCACCATCTAAATGTTTTCTGTTTATTATCCTGTAGAGTCCCCACCATCTAAATGTTTTCTGTTTATCATCCTCTAGAGTCCCCACCATCTAAATGTTTTCTGTTTATTGTCCTCTAGAGTCCCCACCATCTGAATGAATACAACAATGGTCCCTTTGGTCCCCGGTGCCTCAAATGTTGTGATAACTGCCCAGGACTAGATCTTCATTATTTCAGGTAGGTCACTTTTTAAAAGTGGGTCACTGTGTTTTAAGTGGGTCACTTTGTTTTAAGAGGGTCATTTTGTTTTAAGTGGGTCACTGTATGTTATGTGGGTCACTTTGTTTTAAGTGGGTCATTTTGTTTTAAGTGTGTCACTGTGTTTTAAGTGGGTCACTGTGTTTTAAGTGGGTCACTTTGTTTTAAGTGGGTTACTGTGTTTTAAGTGGGTCACTGTGTTTTAAGTGGGTCATTTTGTTTCAAGTGGGTCATGGCTATACCTGACACTTAATTTGGCATGTGTTCGTAAATACAAAGCTAAGTACAGTGCCTAGCTGTGTAGCAGGGGCGGAACTACCATACCGCCAGACCCCGCAATGCGGGGGGGGCCCAGGACGTTTAGGGGCCCAGTTCCGACCAAAAAACAATGAATTTTTTTTTTCATAAATTATGTTTTTCATGCATCTTGAAAGTGGTTTTGTAAATAAAAACAAAAAACAACAGGTCTACTATAGCAGAGATTGTTGCGTAGAAAAATATTTTAAAATCTACAAGAGCTATAGTTTGAAAGGTAGGTAAACATTCACACAACTTCCATGACTTACTGCCCTTCTTTAAAATAGGGATGCCCACGAAGCTCATTTAAATAGTTTTGTACTATCTATATTAAAAAGCAATTGATTCTCTGAATTGTTATTTAAATAAGACGTACTATACAATAGTATAGCTATAAAAATCAGTGTTTTCAAAATTGATATTATAAAAGCCAAAAATGAAAAAAATAAACATAACGCGAGAAACCATTCACGAATTAAGCTAACGTCTTTATATATTTTTGACCAGCGTATTTGTGATGTATTATTAAACTCAGGATGAGTTTGGATTAAATTTTTTTGTTTTATTGTCACAGAATGGTTATATATTGCAATGAAGTAGACTAAATTACTCAGTTCAGGGGCGGAACTACAGTGCCGCCAGACCCCGCAATGCTGGGGGGGGGGGTCGTTTAGGGGCCCCAAGCCGACCGTAATACATTTTTTATAGTTAAAAAAATAATTGTCTTGTTAAAAAACAAACAGATCTACTACAGTAGTGATGTTCTACAGTAGCCAACACACGCTGTTTCGTAAAGGAAAAAAATATAAATGCTACATGAGTTCAAACCACTTCCATGACTTATTTCCTTGTTTTAAATAGCCAAATATGTGTGTTCTTAGGAAACTTTTAATAGTTTTGCACTAAACAAATTAAAAAGCAATTACTTTTCTTAATTATTATTATTTTTAAAAATACATAATAAAGAATGGTATAGCATAAACAGGAAATGTATTTAAAACTAATATAATAAATACAAAAAAAAAACATAAAAATAAACATAAGGCGAGAAACCATTACAAATACAAAGCTTTAACACTTCATATTCTTTTGACCGACTTAAGTTTAACAATCATTGTGCCAGCCATTAAAACAGAGAATTTCATAACAGACTAATACTAATAGCACTCACACAAATGAAGTGTTGTTGTTACATGTTTTAATTTAAAATAAAAAAATTCAAATTTCAAACAAGCCCGAAATGAGTATTTTATGTAGGCCTACGTATTTTCATATATATATATATATATATATATATATATATATATATATATATATATATATATATATATATATATATATATATATATATATATATATATATATATATATATATATATATATATATATATGGGGCCCACAAATATTTTTTTGCGGGGTGGCCCTTTTTTTCTAGTTCCGCCACTGCTGTGTAGTACAGTGCCTAGTTGTGTAGTGCATTGTCTAGCTTTGTAATACAGTGCCAAGCTGTGTATTAAAGTATCTAGCTGTGTAGTGCACTGCCTAGCTGTGTTGTACACTGCCTATTCATAACCACACTAAACATCATCTGAGTCAAAACGCGTCAAATCTGACAATGTTTTTAAAAACATCCATCAAAGTTTTCTCTAAAACACTCAACAGACGTGCAATAAATGCCGATGTAATTAATGTGGTTTAATCAGTAGAGTAGTTTAATTAGTCAGGTTCAATTAGTGAAGTAATTTAATTAGTGAAATAGTTTAATCAATGGTTTACCCACTTGCCATGGCCATGTTATATGTCTATGGATGAAACCACGAGTGCATATACATGCTCAAGTTTTGATCGTATGTATATGTGTATGTATGTATGTATATTTGTGTATTTTTAAGTGTGAAAGTTTTTTTACCAAATTGAAATCATGAGCATAGTGGATACTTGAAAAATTCGCTTTATCCTTAGATTGAGGTGACTTTAAAATACGTTACAGTTTTTAAAAGTGTTTAAATTGTTTTACAGTTTTAAGAATTGTTACACTTTTTAATGTGTGCCAAACATTTTTAATGATTTATAGCTTTTAAAAATGTGTTCCAATTTTTAGACGCTTTACACATTTGAAATGAGTTCCAATTTAAAAACGTGTAGAAAGTGCGATGCGTCATGGACTAGCTGATGTGTGAGATTAATGCGCAGAAAAAATGTTTTTAAAAGCCAGACAGCGAACGGCTTACAAGAAATAGGTGTGTGTTGAAAAGGATGATGATAAGCTTCATGTTGATAAACATTGGATGACTAATCCAGGAGATAAGTCGAGGATTATCTTGTCTTAGCCGAAATATGCCAACAAAAAATGATTTGTAATCCGAATTATGCCAACAAAACTGAGCTGTTCCAGGCTTGCTATGAGTATGTAGGCTCCCATAAAATGAATCTTCCAACGTTTTCCACAAGAATCTTTTAACACTCATACATATACACGGACATTAAATTCAAGCATGAAAGTTTTCATCGTATGAGCTCCGATGTTAGACAACATACAGTGTTTCTTTCGGACATATTTTTCCGGGTGGGGGTGGATGGACTAAATTTTCCGGAGGGGGGGAGTGGGGGTGGGGTGGACACTCGTCAAAGTTTATATTCTCGAAATTTCTGTATAAATTATATTTGGTTGAGGGGGGGGGTTCGTGCTCAGAAGCATACCCCCCCCCCCACACACACACACAAACACACCCCCACCCCTCCGAACAGATGCCCGAAAGAAACTTGCAAAATGCATTTAAAATAAACTAAATTAACATGCAATAGAAAATTTTAATGAAAGTTTTGAATCACTACTACTCTATATTTTATTCGTCATGAACGTTTTTTTTTTCTCCAGAAAAATCTGCAAAAATTGTCGCTGTTTAGCAGAAGACCACGACATTCCCTCCTGTCAGCAACGAGACTATCGTCCAATGAGCATGCTCTTTCAGTCATGTGACTCGCCGCCAGCGCCCCCTGATCTCAAACCTGATTGGACGACAAGTTTCCAAAAGCTGACCATAACAGACCCCAGTGACATTACACAGCTGAAGGCGCCACAGAACGATGTCGTCATGACCAAACTCATCAGTGAAAACGTGGTAGGTTGATGTCTGGCTTCTGATTGGCTGGTGGCTAGCTCTCCTGGCTTCTGATTGGTTGGTGGCTAGCTCTCCTGGCTCCTGATTGGTTGGTGGCTAGCTCTCCTGGCTCCTGATTGGTTGGTGGTTAGCTCTCCTGGCTCCTGATTGGTTGGTGGCTAGCTCTCCTGGCTCCTGATTGGTTGGTGGCTAACTCTCCTGGCTCCTGATTGGTCGGTGGCTAGCTTAGCTACCTAGACAACAATAATTTAACCTGAGAATTTTCACTTTGACACCGTATTAATAGTCCCTTGAATATGTTTCATTCATTGTTTACATAAACATTAGGTTTAGGGAGAACGAATTCAATCATAGAACCAAAACCAGGAAAATCTACAAGCCATACAACAAACGGCCTCGTCTTACTATGGACCAGCAGTTTCTACATACAATGGTTTGAAAATCCCGTCATACAGTAAACCATACAGCCGCCCGTACTGGTTGACAGTGTTATGTCTACCACACTATACAATCAATTGTTAACCACTCCCCAATTTCAAACATCCCAGGGTCACGTGTAAAACTCTCCTAACATGTGTGGGGTGGACGAAAATGTAAGAAAATTCTTCTGTAGGTGTTCCAAATTTGGACTTATTTCCATGTCGGATGTGCTTAGATTTTTTTTAACATGGAGGCGTTTCAGAAATAAAAATTGGAAAATTGTTTTTTTAACCATCAAGAGTCAAGCTTGCGTCCACGCAAGTGCCAGATTATTAAGTCATTATTTGCTTAATCTGCCCAACAAACCAAACTTGGAAAGGTCGTCTGGAATCTGAAACCTGGTTTATGGGAGGAGCCGGGATGTTGACACATTCCCCGGTCAGTTGATGGGAGTCTCCACCCACAATTGTTGATACCGCGACATTTGTGTAGCAGACGTCAAGTCTAGCGTGTGACGTAATGCATATTGTACCAACGAAGATAAGTCTTTATAGTGGTAGTGGGCAATTTGTGATGTTAAGTGATGTCCGTTGATTATTGTTGACGTCTATTGATTATTGTTGACGTCTATTATTTATTGTTGACGTCTATTGATTATTGTTGACGTCTGTTGATAGTTGTTGACGTCTATTGATTATTGTTGACGTCTATTGATTATTTTTGACGTGTGTAAGACTTACCACCATCTGAGTGAAGTCACATGACGTCACAACCTACAGCTCACATCGCGCCAGTCCTGTCACGTGCTTTCATCCACCTCGAGCAAAGAATTCCAGAGCTAAGGGTATCACGTGGTTGACACCACATCTATCCCTACTATCCCAGTTATGCATTATCCTACCTTTGTACCACGTCTCATTACGTTTATTACCGACCTATCACTTAACCTTGGCAGGGGCGTAACTCTTGTAGGTCTTCTATGCTCACCTGGTTATACGCGAGCTAAATTTGTCTGTTTACTTAAAAGATTATGTTTTATTTTTTCCACAGAGATCTCAAAAGTTTATTTTTTCCCCACAGAAATTTCAAAAGTTTATTTTCCCCACAGAAATCTCAAAAGTTTATTTTTTCCACAGAGATTTCAAAAGTTTATTTTTTCCATAGAGATCTCAAAAGTTTATTTTTTCACAGAGATCTCAAAAGTTTATTTTCCCCAAAGAAATCTCAAAAGTTTATTTTTCCCACAGAGATTTCAAAAGTTTATTTTTTCCACAGAGATCTCAAAAGTTTATTTTTCCCACAGAGATTTCAAAAGTTTATTTTTTCCCACAGAGATCTCAAAAGTTTATTTTTCCCACAGAGATCTCAAAAGTTTATTTTTTCCCACAGAGAACTCAAAAGTTTATTTTTTCCCACAGAGATCTCAAAAGTTTATTTTTCCCACAGAGATCTCAAAAGTTTATTTTTCCCCACAGAGATCTCAAAAGTTTATTTCCATGCTGCCCGAGGACAAGCAAGAGTTCGCATCCCAGCTGCGCCGGAAACAGCTCCAGCGACAACTTCCGCTCCATGACCTTGACCCCCGCTTCTGCAACAGTCTGGCGGCCTCGGAGGTCGTCAAGTACGAAAAGTTTGCCGAGAGGAGACGGAAGAAAGCGGCTGGGATTGGTCAGATCGGAGAAGTGACATCAACAGGCTCCATTGTGGTAAGTGGGTTGTAAGGGTGGGTCAGGGAGGGTCAGTGTGGGTCAGGGTGGGTCATAGCGTTCAGGGATGGAGACACAGAGTATAGAGGGGGGGGGTTCAGGTGTGGGGGCAAATATTGTCATAGACAGTGTTTCTTCCAGGCATCTCTTCAAAATTCTGAGTGCCATACCCCACCCCCCCCTCCCCGGGAGAAAAAAGTCTGGAAGGAACACTGGTTAGGGTGGGTCAGGGTGGGGGAGCAGAGGGCTTAGGGGTGGGGGGGGGGCAGAGTTTTCAGGTGTGGGGGCAGGTATTGTTATAGAGTGTTCATGTGTCGAGGCATAGGGTTCTAGCCAAACTCCTAGCAGATACAACTTAGCCTTAATCACTTAATCACCAGACCCTAGCCCTAACCCCGACCCCTTATATAACTGGAACATGCTTGAGAGCAAGCTCAGGCTAGCGAGCTGGGTAGACGGATGCTCTTTCAAGGACAGGTTGTAGGATTTGTAGCTGCAACATATTCAGCTGTTTAGTGGCGGCAACATATTCAGCTGTTTAGTGGCGGCAACATATTCAGCTGTTTAGTGGCGGCAACATATTCAGCTGTTTAGTGGCGGCAACATATTCAGCTGTTTAGTGACGGCAACATATTCAGCTGTTTAGTGGCGGCAACATATTCAGCTGTTTAGTGGCGGCAACATATTCAGCTGTTTAGTGACGGCAACATATTCAGCTGTTTAGTGGCGGCAACATATTCAGCAGTTTAGTGGCGGCAACACATTCAGCTGTTTAGTGGCGGCAAGACATTCAGCTGTTTAGTGACATATGACTAGTTTTTAGTAGCCGCGCGAGCATAGAATGACGTCATCATACGTAATTTACTTGCCTTCCACGCTCTCCCATCCTTCACCCCCCCCCCCGGTTCTACAAACTGAAATTAGTTTATCGTGCTGATATGTGTGTCATCATACCCTCCACTCCACTCCCTGTACCTCACCCCCTCCTTTTCACACTCTCCCTTCACGCCATAAAAAAATGTGCCTGCATGTCATGCGTCTATTTTGTTGGATCTCCACACACTCACGCACACAAAAATAAAATTACACGCGGAAGAATTTACTTTAAAAAATTGTTTTCTAGTTTAAACCTAAATAAATGTAAGACAATTTTCTCAAGACGGTCTTAATGCGGTCTTAAGACGGTCTTAATACGGTCTTAAGACATGTCAAGCCCGGTGTGTTGTGTGAGTACTTGTCGACAGCCGGGGGTGGTTGGGACTGGAAGGGTCGGGGGGGGGGGGGGGGATTAACCGCACGTGGTGGCCGGGTTTTGTTTGGCGACTGCTACATGTGCCCAACATTTGCTTTCAACATACTGTGTGAACTTGTTCCCAACATACTGTGTGAACATGTTCCCAACTTTCTATCGAACATGTTCCCAACATACTGTGTGAACATGTTCCCAACTTTCTATAGAACATGTTCCCAACGTACTGTGTGAACATGTTCCCAACATACTGCGTGAACATGTTCCCAACTTTCTATCGAACATGTTCCCAACATACTGTGTGAACATGTTCCCAACTTTCTATAGAACATGTTCCCAACATACTGTGTGAACATGTTCTCAACATACTGCGTGAACATGTTCCCAACTTTCTATAGAACATGTTCCCAACATACTGTGTGAACAAGTTCCCAACATACTGTGTGAACATGTTCCCAACATACTGTGTGAACATGTTCCCAACATACTGTGTGAACAAGTTCCCAACATACTGTGTGAACATGTTCCCAACATACTGTGTGAACAAGTTCCCAACTTTCTATAGAACATGTTCCCAACTTTCTATAGAACATGTTCCCAACTTTCTATAGAACATGTTCCCAACTTTCTATAGAACATGTTCCCAACTTTCTATAGAACATGTTCCCAACTTTCTATAGAACATGTTCCCAACATACTGTGTGAACAAGTTCCCAACATGCTGTGTGAACATGTTCCCAACATACTGTGTGAACATGTTTTCAACATACTGTGTGAACATGTTCCCAACATACTGTGTGAACAAGTTCCCAACATACTGTGTGAACATGTTCCCAACATACTGTGTGAACATGTTCCCAACATACTGTGTGAACAAGTTCCCAACATACTGTGTGAACAAGTTCCCAACATACTGTGTGAACATGTTTTCAACATACTGTGTGAACATGTTCCCAACATACTGTGTGAACATGTTCCCAACATACTGTGTGAACAAGTTCCCAACATACTGTGTGAACATGTTTTCAACATACTGTGTGAACATGTTCCCAACATACTGTGTGAACATGTTCACAACTTTCTATCGAACATGTTCCCAACTTTCTATAGAATATGTTCCTAAGTTTGTATAAGATATGTTTTCATCTTTCTATATGTTCCCAACGTTTTGTGGACCATGTTCCTAACTTACCGAGACTTTGTTCCCAGCCTTCTGTTGGAACATGTTCCCACAAAGATCGGATTTACATTCTGGCAGTGAACTGAGTTTCCGGTGAGCAAGTGATTTGATTGGTTGGCTCCCTCTGAGAAAGTGATTTGATTGGTCGTGCACGCAGATAAAAAGTCGCCGATGGACCGAATTTGCCCGACTTTCAGAGCCAGGGAGACGTGGGCGGTGGCTTGTGGGAGCTGGGTGGGGGTTGTGGGTGGGGGCTGGGTGTGGGTTGTGGGTGGGGGCTGGGTGTGGGTTGTGGGTGGGGACCCTCACACTTTGGTAATGTAAACATCGATGCTATAAGTGTCTTATGGTCTTTATTTTAATAACTTAATAACTATAAACACATGAGCTGATACAGCCTTGGTATAGGAATTGGTATTGCCTTGGGTGTTCGGCACTATAGCGGTAGTCTAATTGTATTAAAACAACACTAGTTTTAGATTGACATCCCCCATGACGAGATGTATAACTGACACGATATATAGCTGACACGATGTATAGCTGACACGATGTATAGCTGACTCGATGTATAACTGACACTATGTATAGCTGACACGAAGTATAGCTGACAAGATCTATAGCTGACAAGATCTATAGCTGACCCGATGTATAGCTGACACGATGTATAGCTGACACGATGTATAGCTGACAAGATCTATAGCTGACAAGATCTATAGCTGACCCGATGTATAGCTGACACGATGTATAGCTGACATAATGTATAACTGACACGATGTATAGCTGACAAGATCTATAGCTGACACGATGTATAGCTGACCCGATGTATAACTGACACTATGTATAGCTGACACGAAGTATAGCTGACAAGATCTATAGCTGACAAGATCTATAGCTGACCCGATGTATAGCTGACACGATGTATAGCTGACACGATGTATAGCTGACACGATGTATAGCTGACCCGATGTATAGCTGACACGATGTATAGCTTTTATTCTTGTGTTACGAGTAATATTACATTTGTCAGCATACGCCATTATATGTCCCATCTCACCCTCCCTCTAATTTTGTGTCTGCCCCCCCCCACCCCAGATGTTGTAGCTAACCCCCCCCCCCCCCCCCACCGATGTTGTAACTACACCCCCAGCCTAGATCACGCGGACCTTCAGCAGACGTCACGGTTGAAATAACAGAAATTTATTAGCTACGTTTGTGATGCATGTGTGTTTCTTCCAGACTTTTTTCTCCGGGGGGTTGGGGGGGGGGGGGTCACTTTAAATTTTCGGGAGGGCGGACTAAAATTTCAGAGGGTGGGTGGCGGACACTGTTAAAATTATATATTTTCTATTTGAATTTCGTTCGGGTGGGGGGGGGGGGTGGGGGTGGAGCCCGCCGAAGAGATGCCTGGAAGAAATTCTGTGTGTGTGTGTGTGTGTGTGTGTGTGTGTGTGTGTGTGTGTGTGTGTGTGTGTGTGTGTGGAGGGGGGTAGGAGTGAGGGTTGAGTGAGAGGGAGTAGCACGTCTGAGTAAATGTGCGAGTGTGTCTTTGTGTGTTGAATATATATAAATATGTAACAGCTTTGGGTGTAGGATTAAGGTTAAAAATAAAATAAAGTTTAGGATTAAAGATGATGATTGATATCCATGTCTGCGTTAAAACTACGGATAATGCCTTGATTTATCGATACTTGTAAAACTTGCATCGAGTACATACTGTCGACTGTTTAGTAGGTACTGTATTAGTATGTGTGTACTGTATTAGTATGTGTGTACATATATGTGTGTACATGTTTGTGTACATATGTGTGCACATTTTTGTGTACATGCGTGTGCACATGCGTGTGTACATGTGTGTGTACATGTTTGTGTGTGTACATGTTTGTGTGTGTACATGTGTGTACATGTGTGTGTACATGTGTGTACATGTGTGTGTACCTGCGTGTGTACATGCGTGTGTACATGTGTGTACACGTGTGTACATGTGTGTGTACTTGTGTGTGTACATGCGTGTGTACATGTGTGTGTACATGCGTGTGTACATGTTTGTGTGTACATGTTTGTGTGTGTACATGTGTGTGTGCATGTGTGTGCATGTGTGCATGTGTGTGCATGTGTGTGCATGTTTGTATACATGTGTGTACATGTGTGTGTACATGTTTTTGTGTGTACTTGTGTGTATCCATTGTGTGTGTACATGTGTGTGTGCATGTGTGTGTACATGTGTGTGTACATGTGTGTGTACATGTGTGTGTACATGTGTGTGTACATGTGTGTGTACATGTGTGTGTACATGTGTGTGTACATGTGTGTGTGTACATGTGTGTGTACATGTGTATGTGTGTTGGGTATGACGTTTAGCCTCAGGTAATTGAATTCGAGTTTAACGATGTTGACAAATCATCGACCGCAACAGATAACTGGCACTGAAGGTGAAATTTACTGGTAAAACTTGCAGACCCGCATCCATTACCTCACGTTATCTTTTTTTATCCCCATCCTCCTACCCCCCCCCCCCACTACCCCATTTTGCTGATCTCCTCTACCTCCCCCTCTCTTTTGTTACCTCACGTAGAGTTACGAGCAGGTTTTTTTAGGAGGGGGGGGTGCGATACGAGTTTAAAAGGTGGAGATGGTAGAGGTGTAAGATTGAAGGGGAGTGGTAGAGATTGTAGGGATGGATAAGTAATAGGTAGGGTAGGGATGGTAGATTGTGGGGTGCTGTGAATGTTACATAAATACCACATTAAAAATATTTTTAAAAGACTTGGTAAATTTATCGCAATTTTGAATGTGCTAGTGAAAAGAAATCTGTTTGAACTTAGAGTTATATTTCCCCCTCACAAACATGAGCATTATACTTTCCGCTTCAATTTGGCGCTTGGAAACCAAAATAAAATAAATTATTATTACTTTTTTTATACCATCTCGTTTCTTCTCGCTAAAGTCTTGGAAAATAAAATACCTGAAGCTTTTTATGTTCTAAAGTCTTCTTGCCAAGATAGTTCCTTACGTCTGGTACTTTTAGAAGTGTGAATTTTATGATCGTAACAAAATACAAACTTCTGTAAGGGGAAATAATCCAGGTATAATTAAAGCGAAGAGGCTGGGATCATGAGTTAGATAATCTTGAATTACCGCTCATATGTTTTGTCTTCGTGACATTTTAATTAGTTTTTTTTCTTGAATAAGTTCTAGTTAGCTTTGTCTTAAGTTCTTGTTTTCTCTCGATTAAATTTTTTATTAATTTCGTGTTGATAAAGTTCACATTAGCTTTGTCTTAAGATCTAGTTTCTAGTTCTTTTTCTCCGGATTAAAATTGCAATTAATTAGGTTCTAATTATCCTTGTTGCACCCACCAGGGCTGTCACAGCTGCCAGCAGAAGATGGAGACGGGGGGTCCGGCGGTCATCGCCAGCAAGGTACCAGGCGAGTGCTGGCACCCCGGCTGTTTCGTGTGCCTGACCTGCCGGCAGCTGCTGGTCGATATGATCTACTTCAGCAAGAAGGGACACGTCTACTGCGAGAGGCACTACGCCGACCTGCTCTACCCAAGGTGCTCGGCCTGCGACGAGGTCAGCATGTGTAACAATCTTGTGGTGTTTGACCACGTGAGGTCAGGATGTGTAACAAATTGTGTTGTTTGACCACATGAGGTCAAGATGTGTAACAATGTTGTATTATGTTTGACCACATGAGGTCAAGATGTGTAACAATGTTGTATTATGTTTGACCACATGAGGTCAAGATGTGTAACAATGTTGTGGTGTTTGACCACGTGAGGTCAGCATGTGTAACAATCTCGTGTTGTTTGACCACATGAGGTCAGGATGTGTAACAATGTTGTGTAACAATCTTGTTATATGTTTGGCCACGCGAGGTCATGATGTGTAACAATGTTGTGTTGCGTGACCTTTGGGGAAAAGTTAATGTTTTTGTGTATGTGACAATTTGGGAAGGTTATTACTTGATATCTGTGGCTTTTGTGAAAACAGACATTTGGTGCAAAATATATTTTTTTGGAATGATTAAAAAAAGGGAAGTAACTCCACCATTTCAGATTATTTTTTCCCGCGAGTACACGCAGGCTGAGGGACGCTCGTGGCACGTGCATCACTTCTGCTGCTGGTACTGCGACGCCACCCTGGCGGGCCAGAGGTACATAGCCAAGGACAACAACCCCTACTGTGTCACGTGCTTCGATAAACTCTTCAGTAAAGTAAGTTCTAGAAGGTCGACACGCTACACACAGGTTACACCGAGTGACACCTAAAATCAGCAGTTGATCCAACAGTATACGTTAAAGTTATATAAATCTTTTAGCAATGGCTGACAGTTGATCTAACAGTATACGTTAAAGTTGTATAAATCTTTTAGCAATGGCTGACAGTATCAGCAGTATTTCTTTCAGACTTTTTCTCCAGGGGGGGGGGGGCGTACTAAATTTTCCGGGGGGGGGGGGGGGGAGCGGACATTGGTAAAAGTATATATTTGCTATGTAAGTTCCTTTCCCCCCGAAAAAATGCCTGGAAAAAACTCTGAATCGCAGTGAAGGGTGGAGGGGGGGGGGGCTGTAAGCTGCATATAGTTTTTAGTTTATCTAAGATGTTTAATTTCTGCTAAGTGGTGTCCAACATCTGCTCCATGCTCTACAGATCTGCAGCACGTGCCAGCGCCCCATTACGGCTGATGCCCCGGGGGTCACTCACGGGGAGTTGCACTGGCATGCGTGTCCACATTGTTTCAGGTAGGTGGGTCATGGGTCATTTTGTTTCAGGTAGGTGGGTCATGGGTCACTTTACATGGGTCACATTGTTTCAGGTAGGTGGGTCATGGGTCATTTTACATGGGTCACATTGTTTCAGGTAGTTGGGTCATGGACCAGTTAACATGGGTCATCGTATACTTTAAGAAGTTTCACGTGGATCGGGTCAAGCGTCATTCTCTCCCTTGGTCCACTTGGTTGGGCCATATACAATAATGTAACTATTGACTTTATAGCTTGTATTATGGGTAAATTCTGAACAAAAGCGCTTTAGGCAGGTCATCTGAACATCATCTAATTAGATCAATAATATGTCAGGTATTTGTTTCACTAATCAAGTCTTTAGATATGGAATTTATTATTTAATTATTTTCGTCTGTAACAGCTGTCATTCGTGTGGCCGGAACCTACTCAATCAGCCGTTCCTGCTGAAGGAAGGAAAACTGTTTTGTGGCATGAACTGTCGACATTTATCTGGCCCAGCCTGCTATACGGCCTCTATTGCCAGACAGTTCACCCAGTGACAGGCTTGCCACATTGGACCAGAACTTTTGTTCACTTAATTTATTTAGTCCGCCCCACACAAGTGCCCAGAGATTAGTTTCTTCCATTGTATAATTACAGAGACAATAACTGTGTATTATTTTTTGATGAATGTTTTTTATCTTGACTTATAGTTAATTAGATTAACTAATTAATTAATCAAAGTAGTCTTGTAATGTCTGAAATGGTATACAGAGCCGTTTCTCTTATTAATATTTATATCTTATAAATATTAAAAAGATTGAATAAGATTTAATATTTAATTGTGTATGTGGTTTTGCATGTGTGTGTGTGTGTGTGTTAGGTGGAGGATAAAGTTGTGTGTGTTTTGGTTTGTACTAATTACAAGTCAGTAATTGCCAATCAGCAACTGCAACTACAGCTTTTGGTACAACTTTAGTTGGGTACACATATCTTGTATTTGAGTATCTAACGATTCTCATAAGCGTCCCTATCGCCAAGTTTTTATTTCTACATTTTCCTAGTGCCATATAGACAGATATGTGATGTCATGGTGACATTGGATGTCATGGTGACATGTCATGCCTTTATTTTGAGAAAATGTCTCTATCTATTGTACCATGTCTGTAAAAACTTTGAGTAATATTTCGGGTTGTGCTAAACATACAATTTTTCCACTTAACTTAGCAGCCTTTGATATACAACAGATATTTGATATACAACATACGTTTGATATATTTTATATTCAAAAACTTTGACGTATTACAGATATTTTATATGTAACAAACATTTGATATACGCTACAGCAGACATTTGATATACCACTGGTGACGTGTATAGTGCTATCAGAGTTTGACAATAGATTATTCAGAAATTATGTGCGTGGCGATAAAAATTTGGTAAGAATTTCTAGGTCTTTCGCTAGCGTTTGGCTTTGGAATAGACTAGAGTTAGGATTTTTTTTTTCATTGTTTACAATCATTTTTATTTGACACCCCAAACTTCTTCAAATGCATTACAAACTTTTGCAGCAGAAAGAGGATAATTACTATACCAAAAACAGCAGGCCTATCCTTGGTTACGTAATCTCTCACATCTACAATCTCTTCAGCACTGTATGACATGGCGGATTTTGGACAGCCTGTGGGGAGGTGGTCACTGACTGGGTTTATGATCACCTTTAAAAGTTTCTGCGGGCCATCACTTGCCCTGATACTTAGCTTGTCCAACGGTTGAGCCATGAGCCCACAAAATTTGTCAAATGTGCGATGTATGCGAGTTTGAGGGTCGATTTCTATATGTACATTCTTCTCAGTTTTAACCTGTTAAAGATTAGCCCTGTTGAGAGGTGAATCCATTAGCATAAGGAAACATTGGTGTGTGATGTCAGGCCGACATGTTGAAACATTTTTTTATGCGCTTCCCAACATTTGTGTTTATCGCAACATAAAAGTTCATACTTCTGTCCTACCTTAACTGTTTCCAAAGATGCTTGATCCAGTATTACAATTAACCGTTTTTCCTGAGAATCTTTACATACACTTTTAATAACTTTTGGCTTTTGAGCGAAAGTCTCGTCTTCACCATGCTCTTCCACTTTCAGTTCTTTCAGACTTTTTTTCTATAGTTAGGATTATCAGTAAATCATTGTTGTGTGTATGTATGTATGTAAGCATAAACAAAATGCTTTGAATGGTCTATATTTCCTGTGTGTATTAAGAATTGAAATGTATATCTGTAGTGTCTAGTTGTTGTTTTTAAATTTAACCCTCAGTAATACTTTTCACGATTTGTAAAACATAAAAGGATAAATATTTTACAAGTTGTTGCAATGTCTAATTGGAGTTGTAACGTTTAAATGGGTTGCCGCTCTTGTTCCTTTTCAAAAAGTTAATTGTTTTACGAGTTGCTGTTCTTGAGTTTTTAAAAAAAGGTTATTTTAGTACGAGTAGTCGTTTTTGCTTGTAGCACACAAGTGTAACTATAATTTAAATGTTCAGTATCCTAAAATGCCTTGATTACTTAATTAATTTGTGATTTTATGTTTAAAATAAGACATGCCACTTCATAATGTCATTATTGTCATTCATCCATTTCATGTCATCGTAAGTAATTTATCAATTCATGTCATCTGAAGTCACTTTATTCATGTATCTCGTCTAACAGTCATGTTATCTATGTATGTCAAGTCATCAAGTCATTTCATCCATATATGTCATGTCATCATGTCATTTCATCCACGTATGTCATGTCATCATCTCATGTCATATGTCTGACCCCAATGTCCTAACGGTTGATACAACATATTATGTGATTTCATTCAAAACTGAAACAAATAAAAATAGTAAATCATCTATCGTGTTGTGGTCATTTGAACGAAACAAACATCACAATTTCAACAATTTAAATTGGTTGGCTTTTTACTATGAGAATAACATAAACAAATCCCTGAGCACCCTAATAGACTTGTGGAAATGTGGCCAAACCACTCGGCTCCGTGGTAGCGCAGCAAGGAACAGATAGGACTGACTTAGACCAAACCTTGCGTCTCTCTATCTTATGTCGATTCTATACTGCTGGCTCTGACTTAGACCAAACCTAGTGTCTCTCTATCTCATGTCGATTCTATACTGCTGGCTCTAAATTAGACCAAACCTCGTGTCTCTCTATCTCATGTCGATTCTATACTGCTGGCTCTAAATTAGACCAAACCTCGTGTCTCTCTATCTCATGTCGATTCTATACTGCTGGTTTGGTTGGCACCTCATTTTACTGGCAATGTATTTGATTGGCCAGGACGGCGGGTAAGGGCAGGTAATGCTGATGTTGTTCTAACATTTGAGTTACCTCTCTTGTTTCCGTGTACTTGTTTGACCGGCTAAACAAAAATAAATGCGCAGTGTCATGGAAGGGATGAAAGTAGATTGACCTTTAAAGGCGAATTTGGCGAGGATTTCAAGGTCAAGCCATACCTGGGGTAGATTTATCTGGGGAGGGGAGGGTAGGTGGGGGTAGATATATCTGGGGAGGGTAGGTGTGGGTAGATATATCTGGGGAGGGGAGGGTAGGTGGGGGTAGATATATTCTGGGAAGGGGGGTAGGTGGGGGTAGATATATCTGGGGAGGGTAGGTGTGGGTAGATATATCTAGGGAGGGGGGGTAGGTGGGGGTAGATATATCTGGGGAGGTGAGGGTGGGTGGGGGTTGATATATCTGGGGAGGGGAGGGTAGGTGGGGGTAGATATATCTGGGGAGGGGAGGGTAGGTGGGGGTAGATATATCTGGGATGGATGGGGTATCTGGGATGGATGGGGTATCTTGGATATGGTTTTGGTATCTGGGATAGGTGGGGTATCTGTGATATGGTTTTGGTATCTGGGATAGGATGAGGAAGCTGGGATAGATAGGATATATGGGATGGATGGGGTAGTTAGGATAGGATAGGTAGCTTGTGTAGTGTGTCAGCAAAACGCATGTCACATTATAAACATCACAATATCTGGCATTTTATTTCAAATCATAACTTATTGATTTTCGTGTGAAATCATTAATCAACTGGCCCTAAACTCTAGCCTTACACTACATCAGAAACACCATCCATTCACCTAACACGTCGTATAAAATTATCATGTAAGGGAAATAAACTAAGAAACTATTTACCAAATAGTAATTCTAGAGTAGTCCCCCTTACAACAAAAAAGGCAACAAATATTCGGCCAGGGGAAGTAACCAAATATCGCGGCTTTTTCTTTAGCTCCGTGAAGGGTGGCATAGAATCATAAAAGTGTATAGTCAAGTTTAGTCATGACGTGTCTATTGACTTTAAGATATTTGACATTTGAGGCGACATACATGACTATATAAGATTTGACATTTGATGTGACATACATGACTATATAAGATTTGAGGTGATATTTCTGACTAAGCTCTCCCCCCCCCCTCCCCCACCCACACACACTAAAGCCGAATACGTCACATTCAACGTCAAATGTGTGTAGTTTGTGGTGTGTTAAAGAGTTGCTTTCGGTTGGCAACTTTGCAATTTTTTTGTTAAAGATTTGGTGTGTTGGTAGTTGGTGTAAAGTGTAGTATAAAACGTGTAGTTTGCAAAGCATAACATTTAGTGTGTAATGTGTAGTGTGTAATGTGCTGAGTATATTGTACAAGGTGTAGTGTGTAACCATTAGTGTACACCGTGTAGTGTGTCGTGTAGTGTGTCGTGTAGTGTGTAGTGTGTCGTGTAGACGGTTGTAGTAGATCCAGCCAAGGCCAGCACCTGATTGACCAAAGTTAAATGGGGGGGGGGGTCATCGAACTATTTGTGTGAGATGGTGGGGAGTGTTGTGTGACGGGGGTAAACGGGGAAAAAAGTCACGGGAAAAAAACAAAGAAAACAGTCACAGTTTTTGATAGGAAAAAAAGTCACAGAAAAATAGTCACAGAAATAAAGTCACAAAATCTTTTAATAAATATTTTTATTTTAATTGTTGGGAATTGTAAAATTGTGGGTGTTTATTGATGTGGGTTGTTGTTGTCTTTAGCATTTTTATAAACGATAAAAGCATTGTGGTTTATAACACTAAAAAGTACATCTACTGTAACCTAATTTACACAGCAACCACAAATTTGTAATGAATTTAAATACATGTTAAATATGTGTTATAAATTTCACGATACGCATACAACATACGCACATTTCATTATATTAAATTAATCTAAGTTGATTTGCACTTTCTGAATATTTAATGCATAAAAGTATTAACAAATTCAATGCAAATATATATTTGTGACTTTTTTTCCTGTGACTTTTTTACTGTGTTTTTTTTTTTCCTTCAATCGTGACGGGGTGCGGTGGGCTATGTGGGGAGCAGGGAGGCGCGTGGGTGGTGAGAGCTATGTGTGGGGTATGGGGTGGGAGGTTTGGTGTGGGTGGTGTATGTGTGAAGAGGGCGTATGTGTGGGCGTGGTGGAGTTATGGTCAATGTGTGGAGAGGGGCTGGGATGTGTGGGATATGTGTGGAGAGGGGCTGGGATGTGTGGGATATGTGTGGATAGAGGCTAGTGTGGGATGTGTGGGGTATGTGTGGAGAGAGGCTAGTGTGGAATGTATGGGATATGTGTGGAGAGAGGCTTGGATGTATGGGATATGTGTGGAGAGAGACTAGTGTGGAATGTGAGGGGTATGTGTGGAGAGAGGATGGTGTGATGTATGGGGTATGTGTAAAGAGAGGCTAGTGTGGGATGTGTGGGATATGTGTGGAGAAAGGCTGGTGTGGGAAAGTATGGGGTATGTGTGGAGAGAGGATGGTGTGGGAAAGTATGGGGTATGTGTGGAGAGAGGCTGGTGTGGGGTGAATGGGGTATGTGTGGAGAGAGGATGGTGTGGGATGTATGGGGTATGTGTGGGGAGAGGCTGGTGGGATGTATGGGGTATATGTGGAGAGAGGCTGGTGTGGGATGTATGGGGTATATGTGGAGAGAGGCTGGTGTGGGATGTATAGGGTATGTGTGGAGAGAGGATGGTGTGGGATGTATGGGGTATGTGTGGAGAGAGGCTGGTGTGGGATGTATAGGGTATGTGTGGAGAGAGGCTGGTGTGGGATGTATGGGGTATATGTGGAGAGAGGCTGGTGTGGGATGTATGGGGTATGTGTGAAGAGAGGATGGTGTGGGAGGTGTGGGATTATGTATGAGGAGTTCTTAAGGTGGGTGTACGTGTGTGGGTGGGGTACAGTAGGGTAGAGTAGGGTGAAAGGTGGAGTGGGGTGTGATGTGGTTGGTGTGGGCAGAAATCATCAAAGAACACAACGACTTTTTAAATTATTCCTATATAAGACAAGGGTGGTATTGGACACTAGAGTTTTAAATTCTTTAAAGTCAACGGATATAACTAAATTAATGAATGAGAATAAGGTAATTTCAGTTCCGTTCGTACAAAATGTTATTCACTTTATAAAGTGCTGATTAGAAAAACGGACACCGATTTCTCGAACGATAAAATCTTTTCCGCAAATAGCGTGGTATTAATATTTAATCAACGATTTTGTTTCGTTTCTAGATTATAAACTTGTTTT